GGTCCTTATTTTGGACTGGAATATTGATTTATATCTGATTTAATAATTTCTTTCATTTTATAGAGTGCAAACTGTAATCAATGCAAACCATTGCTTTTAAGATGATTTAAAGTTATTTACTGCAGGTAAGATACTGTATTTATAAGTCATTTGTTCCTAACAGAACCCCACCCTTCAATCTGAACTTTCCTTGATATTAAGACATAAAGACTTGGATTTATGAGAAAAAAGGGACACATTAAGACACCTTCAGTATCTTTTTAGGGTTAAAAGGATTTTACATTTTGAAAGACAAGACAGACCACTGCCTCTCTTAATCACCTCTGACCCCACCCACTTTCACTCTAATGTCTCTCTGGCTTGGCGAGTTACCCAAAAAACTTCTCTCTTCCTCAGTGCTTTGCACTCTTCTCTCACAACAGTTTTTGCCTTTCAATACATCTGGACCAACATAGAAGAGAATTAACAGCTTTTTGCTTTAACCTCCACCACTGGGAAATTCAGGGAATCAAATTCTCTCTTAAATCTAGGTAGTTACTGAGTACCGTTTTAGACGACTGGTTTCCTGAACACACCCTCTGGCACCGAGTCTGCATTCAACTTGATTCTGTCCTTCAACTCAGACCAACAACATCTACTGACTTTAGGTGAGTAATGCTTTTTAACGCACATCTATTTTCTTTTTTTTTTTAGCTTTAAAGCCTTTACAATATCTTAATGATGCATGATGAAAAAAACCCACAAGACAATTTTATTGTTAAATCCACTGGAGAAAACGGGAGCCAGTGTTGTAAATTACAGAAAATGGTAAAAGAGTTCTATGACCTACATGAGAAAAATATAAAGCGTTGAGCAAAGGGAAGAAGTCTCTTTAAACTCATACAAAGCCACGTGTAGATTGTGAACTTCCTGATTAGTACCTGTTATTTCTTCCTGTTTTACTAGAGCATTCCCATAACACTGTCTGCACAGCTACGTGTCCAAACTTGCAGTGTTAAACCAATAACATGTTTCAGAGTGTAACATCAGCATGATTCTCTAGATCAGCATGAGCCTCTGAGTCCCAAATTGGATCCACTTATTAATGACTGAATGAATTGCTCTGCATGGCATCTCTTTATAGTTACCCAGTGGTTGAGGTCAGTTGTGTTGTACTTTGTAGCAAAAGTAAGAAACAAACCCTACTTGTAGGGTAACTGACCATTGGAACTCAATTCTCATCTAGGTCCTGTAAGATTTCCTCAGATTATTTGTGGATCTTAATCATCAGCATTTTGGTACTTCAGGTGAATAAAGTTTATATAGCAACAATTCAAAATGTAATCTTAGGCAGTTTACAAAAACATAAACCATCCAAGACAATTGCAAACATTCAAATGATCCCATTTTTAAAAATATGCAGTTTGTTTTTTTTTCAAATGCTTTAAGACTGTCGGTAAGAAATTTCTGCTGATTTCATGTTCTAAATTTTCAGCAACTTGTCTCCCTAAATTAGCACGAGGCAACAGCTGAAACTTAAGCTAATAGATGATTAGTTGGGAAATGTGGGTCTCACAACGGCAATAACAAGTACTGTAGATAGGTGACATAAAAAATTACATCAAAGTATAAATAATATAAAAAGAACAACAATTGTAAGTTTATGTGAAGAAAGAAATAATATTGTTTAGTTAAATAATTTTTAATATCCTGGTAAGAAAAAAAAAAGAGAGGAAAAAAAACGGGGGGGGTGGGGCAAAGAATGGGCTAATGAGCTGATATGGAGCAGGTGTGAATAGAACTAACTAGAAGGAAGCCAAGAGGAAAGGAGACAGGCACAAGGGGGCAACAGAGAGTAACTAAAGAAATACCAAACTGACAGAAAACAACTACTGAGACACAGAATTACAAACTAAAAATAAACTTAAACAGAAGGCAAAACTCTGACACCTCTTTCCCTTTCATAAGTGACTGTATACACTTGTTTGTTGATCTCATGCAGCCTGTGCTATTTGGTTAGCAGCTTCATATCACTGGTAGAAGTCACTCATGAATGTTGTGTTCTGGAAAGACAGGTCAAAATGGTGGCACTGTTGCCTTGCAGTGACAGTCCTGGGTTTAACTAGGGTCTTAATGCATGGAGTCATTATGTTTTCCTGTGCACTACAGCTATTCTAGAGTGTAAAAACACCCTCGTAAGTTGATGTCTTTCATTGCCTTTCATGTTATCATGAACCTATCACTTTCCTTTAACCAAACTCTCATGTTGATGACATAAGCTGCATTTTATTCTCACTCTGAGGGTCTGTGGCTGTAACTGTGCTCAAACTACTGATTTACTGCAACTACATTTTTTATGCAGGAATCCTAATACTTTCTGTAGAAACCTGGGTATACATCAGTTCAAATGCAAAAACTGCTAATTTCATTCAGTATCAAAGTCGTTTAACCAGTTCAGAGAATGAAACTACCTAGCTCCATAACTTGTCTTCCTCCACTTTTCTAATTTGGGTTTCAGGGTAAGGTCACCTCTCTTGGGTGCAACTAAAACAACATAATGTCAAACCCAAACAGGTTATTTGGGTTTGGGTGTCTCAGTGAACATTTGGGGATCAAAATCATTTACTTGCTGCAGAGTGAGAATTAACCTGTGACGATTGGACTCACCTGGTTCATTGGCTGGGCAGAACAAATCCATGACAGAGACAACTTGTTAACTCCAGATCCCCCATCTCTGTCAAACTCTGACTGGTCAAAGACAGTGGACATGTTATCACCAAAAGTGACTGAATTTTGCAAAGTGGGAACTACTGCTAACAGGTAAACTTCACCTCGGACTGTTAAATTAACCTCAGCAATGGGGTAAATGTGTCAAATAAACACTTCTCCTTCACATGTAGCTAAGAGGAAAAAAAATCTACAAGACTACATTCAAATCAACAGCTTTTTATAAATGTAATTCACCTTGACATAATTATAGTTCTATTCAAATACACAGTATCTGGGTTCATTGTGGAAGAACTTGCTCTGAAAAAAGAGGAAATATGCTTTGGGTGATAGGAAATGACTGAAGAGTTTTTTAGGAGCTCGGCAGCCTTAACTGATTAAAGGAAGTAAAATTTGCTCCAAAAAAGCTACAGGCTGGACTTTATCTGCCTTAAATAAACAGAAAATACAGAGGGACAAGACAGACAGTCAGGAGATGATGTGGACAGAGGGGTGGTGGGTGGGTGTGGGAGGGGGGCTCAGGAATGCGGAGGTGGATACACGAGGATTGATTGGGAGGGTCATGTCGGGAAACACACGGGGTGGAAACAGGCTGCATGCCAGAGTCTTTGACTTTCTGAGAGGCTTTCAACTTCCATGCTTTCACATTACATTCACACTAACTGTGTTTGTTTTCCAACAGAGAAACTTTCATCTGTTACCGTTTAGCATGACTTTTCTTTTTTTACTCTCCAACACTGGTTTGGCTTTCCTTCACAGAAGCCACAGTAAACTGAGAGACGTTCAATTAGAGTCTTGAATAAAACCAGAATTACAAAGAAACAGATGTAGAATTCAAAATGTGTTTCATATAAAAAATGAACTATATTGTCAGGGAATTCATTAGTCCTCTAATCCAGCTGGCTTTCTTTCATCAGGTTATTTCTTTCCTCTCTCAGGTATTGAAATTGAGTATTTAAGAATTTTATATGGAAAAGGAAATTAAATGTTAATTGTTCAAAATATTTGAAGTCTTTCCAATAGAGAGCAGTTCAGTTAGTTCTGTTTGGTTTTGTTTTGTTTTGTTAAGGTAGCTCATTATGTTCAAATGGCATCTGAAAACTACCAGTTTACTATGCGGTTGCTTCTCTTAATTTGCAAGTTTCTAATCATTTTCCTTCATAGATGTTTCCTTGTGTGCTGGAACATCAATATTTCATTTCCTTGGTTTATCAGTGTAGAATTATTAAAATCGTCCTGTTGCAGAGTATTTCTAAGGTACAATCATTAAACTGATAACACTGTAGGTTTTGAGAATTAATCTAATTTGCTTTTATTTCCAAGGATGCCTCTGGGTGGAGGAAATAAATGTGGCCGCTGTTCAAAGACAGTTTACTTTGCAGAGGAAGTCCTGTGCGATGGGCGGAGCTTCCACAAGTCCTGCTTCCTGTGCAGTGAGTAAACATTATGCATTAAAACTGATTATCTTAGTTATTACACTGAATCACATTTTGTGAGGTATTAAACACACATGGAAATTTGAAACAGATATTTTCTTAAAACACATAAAGGAAAACAAAATCATGTATTTTTTGCTTTTTTGAAGGATAAAGATGCCTCTCACTCTGAACTTTAGACTTCAAGCTGTAGTTGCAAAATCGGCCCATCAGTTCAAGGAGTTCTGAGTAGATAATTGTGATATTTGTGTTCCCGCTTTGTTATCTAACATTCCTGCAGTGGAATTTAGATGAGAGCATGCTTTTCCAGAAATGCTTTGCCATATAAGGAAGACGTTTGGAACTTGTCTAAACACCCTTAAACGGCACAAATATGCAAACAATAATATATTGCATTTGTTCTTGTCTGTGAATGTCAATATATTTGTGTAGTGGTGTGTGGGAAGAACTTGGACAGCACAACTGTAGCCGTCCATATGGATGAAGTCTACTGCAAGGCATGCTATGGCAAGAAATATGGACCAAAAGGCTATGGGTATGGTCAGGGTGCCGGGACCCTCAGCATGGACAAAGGAGAATCATTGGGTATTAAACAGGAAATGTGAGTAATACACCCACACATATTTAATTACTAATAACAAGCCATTGAGGGCTCTTCGTTATTAATAGTTTTCCCCTCCTTGTCTATCAGGCCTGCCCCTCATCGCCCGACCACCAATCCAAACCCCTCAAAGATAGCACAGAAGTTTGGAGGGTCGGACAGATGCCCCCGGTGTGGCAAGGCTGTCTATGCTGCTGAGAAAGTGATTGGAGCAGGAAATGTAAGAAAACCTCACATAGGCAAACCATCCACATCCATATGTTGACCATTTGAATAGTGATTTTTCGCTTCTTTCAAGTCTTGGCATAAGATTGGATGTTTCACCTGTGCCACATGTGGGAAAAGTCTTGAGTCGACCACACTAGCTGATAAGGAAGGAGAAATCTACTGTAAAGGTACTGTATAATCCATATGTTCAAAATTATGAGAAAATCAATTTTATCCATGTATGTAAATCCATAACACTCTGGTATGGAAGGGATACTTCATTCTTTAAATGGTTTATGATGGAACGTCTTGATCTGCTTCTTTAGGCTTATAATCAGGAAAATAGTCACTGAGCTTTAACCTAAATGCAACATAAAGCAGGTTTGGACCTTAACTTTTAAAAGAGCCACTTTCAGTCTTACTGAATTTATAAAAAGTTTATGAAGGGAAAAAAAGAATAGTCATGAAGGATTGTGCATAATGATGAAGTATGAGAATCTAGAGGAGAGAAATTCTTGAATTAGAAAATGAGAACAAATGTACTTCTTCATGAACTTCAACCCTTTAAGTTTTTGTTAGGATTGTAAAAACAAGGGGGGAAGAAAAGAGACAATTCATCTACTGGATTAACAACAAAAACTTTAAAAAGTTGGGATGAATCAGCAACAATATGTGTTGGTAATGGGCTTTTAATTACAAAGACTGAGTCCCATCTTAATGAGAAAATTTACCACAATAAGCAGTTACACATATCAATACTTTTAAAAGATGCTTGGAGCAGAATATATACTGCCCAGTCATAAACCTCACTGACACTCATCAGATTTAATTAATACACACCACTCACGTGTACAATATTTTTGTTTTAAATATGTGATTGTAATGAGTACATTACAACAGCAGGGGGAGCAATAACACAGCAGGTCACTGTAAAAACATATCTTGCAGTCTATAAAAATTCTGGACCAGAAAAGCAATTAGTTATCTCTTAAACCTACTGGTTAAGTCACCCATACAGGTAAAAGAACTTGCATCAAGGGTTAGTAATAATTACAAAGACTTGGTGATTTTGACCCACTCTTCTACATAGAATTTTTTTTATTTAGTCACCAAGAGGATGTTTAAGTCTTCAAGGGAATGATACAGCATGGCAGGCATATTTGAGTCAGTCAATTGCAAGAAAAACCCAAGTAACCTTGAGTATAAAGGGGAAAAAATGACTAAGTCTCCATCTGTAGTTTTTTTCAAGAGCGGAGAATTATGGGTTGAATTTGTTATATCAGGTCCTACAGGTTCGTATACAATAAAGCTGTCCTAAACCATTACAACCAGCATTATGCTATTTTTTGAAAAGGTGTGTTAGTTTAAAACAACATAGTCGAACACCTATAATATCTCACTTTTCACCAGCAAAACAATTATCCCCTATAATCTTGGGGATCATAAAGTCAAAAGTTATTTTTAGCACTAGAATATTCATACAGATAATCATAAAAAAAAAAAACTACAATTTGACCATTTCATTATTTTATATTATATCAGATTAGATTAGATCAAATAATATGGTCCATTTAATGTAAAATTAAAAAAATATCCAGACATTGTTTTTTCTACCATAAGCACAGACGCACAAATGTTGGCACCTATGCTGTAATTCCTTTAACAAAAAATAATTTTATAACAGTTTCTAATTTCCCTTCAGAATTTTTCAAGGCTACAGAATACGAAGAATAGAGTTTTTGATTAACTTCTTGAAAGGCTTTCCACATCATTACCAGGGGTGCCTATCAATATGACTGATAGAGGAATTGACAAGCAAATTCTCTGTTTTGACTCCATTCAGCTAAAGGTTTTGTTTGAGGCATTTATGACCAAGCAGCCTTCAGTCTGTGATATGGCATTGCTGTTTAGAAGTGGAAATTGATGACACTCTCTTTCTACTTCCAACAGCCTGTTACGGCAAAAACTTTGGTCCCAAGGGATTCGGGTATGGACTAGGAGCCGGAGCGTTGGCGCACACCCAGTGAAGTCCAGTGTGGCATGTCTGATTCACGCTAAACTACTTTCCATGCAGACGGCAGCTGCTACAACTAATGTGGAGGAAGCATCCTTCATCCAGCACTGCATTAGAACATTTCTAGAGATCACCACACAAACACAAAGATTGAAAATGCTTTTTCCTCTTACGGTAATCCACCACTTTCTGAAAATCTAGCAGAGTATGATCAAAAAATAGATCCATTTAATCACACTATGTCTATTTAATCAATCTCTTTAACTGTACACTGACTTGTGCTAATGCTTTAACTTCATATTTAGCAGTTGAAACAGACTTGGATGATTACTTTTCAGAAATAGTTCAGTGATAAATCAAATAAAGACTCAGTGTCCTCTTTCTTCAAATACAATTATATGCTATAAAAAAACAAAAGGCATGTGTTTTTGCACAAGGTCATTGAAAGAGAACTACAGAAGCCAGGTTGTTTACGTGAATGTATATTTAAAAGAGATGCCACTTTACATTTTATTCATTTTTCTCATAACTCAGTGGCACACCTCATGCTGCTCACATGATAAAGCTTCTATATTGTAAAAATTGGAGAATGGCTCAACATGTCTATTGTCAGACTGCAAAATATGTAAAAAAAAAAAAAAAGTCCTTTCCCTCTTGTAAGATGTTTGTATTGGATATTTTTAAAACCTTCATGTATTTTTTTACAGTATTATTTGCAGTATTACTCAGTGTGCTTGATTATAAGGTGCAACTCATAAAAAAAACATTACATTGCAACTGTGTCTTTTTTTTCCACTTTCTTAAACATTTTAGAAGAACATTTTGATACATTTAGGTACAAAAAATTTGATTAATGATAGAGAACATCCAAGGAACTGATCAGGAACTAATGGGTAGTTGATCAGTACTTAGTGGGGAATACCCAGCCCATGCAGCCTTATTATGGGACTAAGGCTTAAGTTACCTGGGAAACACAGGATCTAATGGGCATTTACTGAGGAAACAATCATTAATCAAGAACTAATAGGTAGTTACCACAGAAATCAAACAGGCAATAATATATAACTAAAGGGTGGTTAACAGTACTTATTAGGGGAACGCTGGTTAATTACTACAAAAACAGGGAATAAATCCTACACCTGTGAGGTCACAGCTTATGAAAATCCTGCCTCCTGTAAATGATTTACTGCTGTCAGAGAACCAGATTAATGCCTAGCCATTATTTTATGGATTTTGTAGAGTCAAGAATCATACCAAGTGTTTACTGAGGAACCAGTAATTACCTTAGTAGTATCTTCTGTTCTATTAACTAAAGTTTTGAGTACCCTAAAGTAACGTGAAACATCATACTGACTTCTTACTAAGAAACAATTAAAAATTTTAGCTCAGAATATAGAAAACAACAAGATCAATCACCATAACTATGCAGGTGACACATAGCTTTACATCACAATATTACCAAGTGACTATGACCCCATGGAAGCATTGGCAAAATGCTGAGAACAGATCAATATAGAGATGTACCAATTTTGTTCTGAATGAATAAAAACAAAACAAGCTACTGAATTTGAGATCCAAATTTAGCTCACAGCTTCAGCTGCTACAGCTAGAATCCACTGATTATGGCTGAAATCTTGGTGCCATGATGGACTCAGATCTGCACCTTCAGAGGCACATAAAGACAGTAACTAATTCAGCCTCTAATCACCTGAAGAGTATTAAAGGTCTAATGTCCAAGCAGGATCTAGAAAAAACTCATTCATGCATTTATTTTTAGTAGAATTGACTATTGCAACAGTGTCTTCATAGCTTTGACTAAAAAGTCCACCAGACAGCTGCTGCCGATCCAAAACACTGCTGCCAGTGTTCTCACTAGAACTAAGAAAGTAGAGCACATCAGCCCAGTTCTGAAGTCCTTACACTGGCTGCCTGTAGCTCAGATAATAAACTTTAAAATCCTTCTGTTAGTCTATAAATCAATGAATAGATCAGCACCTCAATACATAACAGATTGGTTGTCAGTGTATCAACCTCCCAGACCACTCAGGTCTAGTTTAAGCCTACTCTGTCCACTCAGAACAAGAACCAAAAATGAAGAAGCAGCATTTAGTTCCTATGCTCCACTTATCAGGAACAAACTCCCAGAGGACTGTAAAAGTTCTATAAAAGGCAGAGTCATTTTTAATCAAAGTTAAAGACCTTCTATTTTTATTGTTTTATTCATTTAAAAAAAATTTAATTGTCTTTTTAGTGAATTGTGCTATACAAATAAACTTGCCTTGCCTTACTTTATCACCGGACTACTTAGTTCCCTCAGTTCTCCTGGTCTTCCCTAATTGTGTGTGCTTAATTGTAAAAGGTTACCAACATAATGACTCATCTCTGTTTTCATCTAACACTCCACCTCTGTGCATTAAAAAAATTGCTATTATGATTAGGAAGCTTTAAAAGCATATTTCAAATATTATCCCTGAAATTCATTAAGCAGGGGTGGAGCTAGATGGGGGCGAGGGGTGATCATACAGATGGTGGCAGCAGTAATAATCTCAGGTGGAATATTCGAAACATTTTATTTTTTGTGGTTAACTGTACACATCAATATACTAACATCAAAGATGTAATGTATAGAATTCATGCTCTTTTCAGAACTAGATTTTGTGTTATATGGGGTAAAGACAAAAATATGAGTCCCTGCAAGTCATCTAGGAGTCGTCAGTGTAATCATAGATAAATGACAATTTGAATAAAAACGTATTAAATAATTAATTCATGTAGATATCAGTGCTTGTAAATATTAATTTTATGAGAATGTTTATTGATACAAGAAGTTAATTAATGGCAATGATGATTGATTTATGCCCCAGAACTCAAAACGAAGTTTTATCCACTATACCTTTTATCATCCGTGTGCCGGACTGGAGTTGTGACAGGCAGCGCGGGCCACAGGCGGCTACGCTCTACCCCTTATATTCATTCGGCTAGCTAATCTGAATCATTCGAGAGTGAGATCATCTGTGGTTGTAGCACTAGACATCTTCCAGGCATGTGAGTAAAACTAGCAGCAGTTCAGCGGACAGGAAGAATGAATGGTAGCTGGCGCGCACGGATGACGTCATACACACTCCACTTTGTTTTTAAAAAACATAAAATAAAAAATATAACCTCGGATGTCTGGGGGACAGTGATTCGCCTACATGTTATGAATGCTGGCGTACCATAAAGAATAAATTATTATTTTAGTTTGTGCCTTCAACTTGTTGCCCATAGGAAGACATTACTTGGATATAAAAAAAACGAATATCTTCAGAACAGCTGCATATGACACAAAACTAATAAGGGTTCAGTAGAAGGTGATGTAATAACATAAAATCAAGGGGCCAATGTAAAAAAAACGGTGTTCCCCTTTAAATATATTTGTTAGCAAAGGCTGTAGGAAAGTATAGTTAGTCTTTATTTAGAAAATATGGATGTTTTGCTCGGACTTTTCAAATATCATCTGAGGTTCTGGTACCCGTCCGCTTTCGGCCCCCCCTCAGTGAACATTGGTTATTGCCTGGCCACCCTTATAAAAAAAATTCTGGCTACGCCTCTGTCATTAATGAAGCAGTTTTAGTAGCAACACACTCAGAGTGTTGGAGTGAGGGCGACTGTGACGAACCCATTACCATCCACACACCGACTCTCACGCACGCGCATCACGCAGAGGATTCATAAACAGCCCGGATATTTTACCGTCACCAGTGAGGAGGCGGGGAGCAGCAGCTGGAGCAGGAGAAGGTCCGCAGAGGAGCCGGGCATGTCCAAACATATCTGGGCAGACCGGCCAGCCAACTGTCACTGAAGAAGCTATAGGTTATTATCCTTACAGTCAGGCGGCCTGAAAAGTCGGTGTTTAAACTCAGGTTAATGGATATATCTGCTGTAGATTGCACAGTGTAAGTCTGAGTTCAGGTCATGTCCTTACCGGTCAAAGTGATTAGAGACGGGCTGTTGGAGAAGCGCAGCAGCGGGCTTCTCCAGCTGTGGAAGAAGAAGCGCTGCGTCCTCACGGAGGAAGGACTCCGTCTGCACAGCTGCAAAGGCGGCGGTAATAATGCGCAGGGGTCGGTGTGGAAATCCGGGGCCAAGGAGTTGCTCTTCGAGCGCATGGAGACAGTGGAGTGTGTGGAGTACAAGAGAGGAATGGTGTACTTCACCGTGGTGATGGCGAAAGGAAAGGAAATAGACTTTCGGTGCGCGCAGGAGGGCACCCTGTGGAACGCCGAGATCGCCTTGGCTCTGGTCCGGTACAAGAACCAGCAGGCCCTCTTAACCGGGAGGAACCGGTACCTTTACGCAGCGCATTAGGCAGCAGCGGGGAGGATGAGGCGCTCTGACTGGAAGGTAAGTTTTAAAGTGATCAAACTCGAGTCAGTGGTTTGAAAGATTTGAAGAATAAAGACAGTCTGAATTAAAGATAAGGAAATAATTTAGACGAAGTTTAGTTTGATTCTTTTGCATCTGATCAGATTTGCTTTAAGGACCAGAGCCCAAGTCGATGATAATTAGTGAGATAGAAAAGACCTTGACCATACAGGGGACCCTGAGATTTTTTTCCAGGGGCCATATGGGCAGCTGGCCCAGATCCCATTAAATTGGGATGTGCAAAGTGTTAATGATGTGATGATAGGTAAAAGGAGAGGCTTTACTACATATAGAGCTGGAGAAAAATCTGTTTAATTCAAAAATTTTCTCAGGCTCCTAATAGGGAGAATACATTTTAGCCTTCTGTTAAAATAACTTGTTTTAAATTAAAGTACAACCAGTACTGTGCATAATTCCTCCTCACATCATTTACTCTGATAGCTCCAAGAGATATCCAGGGGTCTAAATATCATTATAATCCTCCTCTGGCCTTTACTAGAAATCAGTGGTTGATGTATTTTATTTTCCTAAGAATTTCATACATGCAACTAACCAACAACATCCAATAGTTTATAAGAAAACTCAGAAATTTTGGAATAAGTTAGAAAAATTTTTGATATTTTCTCACTATGTTCCCACTGAGTGCACCACTGGAGTGTTTACATGTTCTGGTCACTCCCAGTCACTAAACTCAGTGTTGCTTTGCGATGGTCATCAGTCTTCTGAGGACACAAACCACTCTTACTTGAGGACATAATTACGATGCAATGCGAGCCTCCAGAATAACATCTGCTTGCCTCTCCCTCAGCAGGCAACAGAGTATTTTTAAACATACACTCTGACACACATACACATAATTATGTTTTACCTAATTGCTGTAAAATATAGGGAAACAATGTTTATTTTCCCAGTTTTCAACATCTATGTCCTATTATATTTTTTTTAACGCTTTTTTAGAGAATTCTGTCTGAAACCTCAAGTGAACCAAGAGTCTGAAAGTTTGAACTATGAGCTCACAGATCAGGAATCCACAGCCGTGCTTCCTTAAGCTAGCTTGCTGGAGCCCAATGCCCAAATTAACTGTGTAGCTGTGGTAACAGTGTAAAATAAGTGAGCACACTGACACAGATCGTCAGTGACCCGAATGTTGAAAATATCTCTTAGTAGTCGACCCTAAAATTGTTCTCTGTCTTTTTTCTTTAGCGTCCCTACCTCCTGAGTTCGGAACTTGTCAAGGGTGAAGAAAGACCTCCACATCTATTGTCTTATCTCTCTGCTACACAGTATCGTGGGATACCCAACAGTGACTATGGATCATAGGACCAAAAGCACTCTGATGATTTAACGCGGAATGAGTGTTTGTCTGTCATGACTTAAAGATGCCTAGTCACGTACTATGTCTATACCAATAACCATATGTTCATATTTAAATAAAGTAATCAACCTGATAGTGATTGCTTAGTGTCTTTTGAGCCTGAAGAGAATTATTCCACCAGGCGAGACACCAGCTATCATATTTTGTTTTGATTGCTACTTGTGTAATATCCCTTTTGATATGATTTTTTTTTTTGCCTCCATTACTCCATTACTCCATTACTTCCTTGTTTACCCATTCATGCTAAACGTTGTACCTCCGGTCATGTGCTGTTGTTATAGTAAATACATGAAACGCTCTCATCCGTTAACAAATGGCAAAAATAAAGTGTAAAATACAGAAATAAAATATATTAAGCCAACAGAGCACCACGGTTTAGAAATAAAAAACATTTGTATGCAATCTATGTGAGATAAGTGTAGAAATCCATAAAGTCATAGTACGTGACTCAGACTCCTTGAACCGTTGGAAGACTCCTGCATGTTAAAAAGCATTAAAATCAAAGTTTAATATATTTTACCTTTTGTGCCTTACTCTTTAAAAGATATCACTCCAAACATCACTTGAAATGATTTTGATATAGGAGTAGAAACGGCACATTTTTTGTTACAGACTGAACAGATGCATGAAGTTTAATATGAAGAAGAAAATTGTTGCAAATTCAAGTTTACTGATATGATGTACAGTATTAAAGATAAATAAAGTCATTCTTAAAAGACTCCATCCAAAATGTTGTTCTTTACAGTTGTTTTCATAAGTCTGTTAGAATGAAAGGTTTGAAGAATTGAGATGTGTATAAATCCTTTAAGATGATATATGTCTTATAATGTTTAACTGAAGAACCAATAATACAAAACTAATAATTTTACAGGAAAATTTAAAAAAATGAACTGGGTGTGAATTTTTTTTTTTTTTTATTTTCTCGCTCAAACTGATCTAACTTGCACATCTAACTTTCTGTCTATCAATATGCCATTAGTTTTATTTTCAGAGGTTCTCTAAATCTGTTAAATGTAAAGAAAATTTTTGCCCACGTCTTTCAAAAGGTGACCCCACATCCTTTTAAACAGATTTTATTTTGGACTCTATAGAAATCATTTTAGTATTATGGAAAAAAATCATTTTGTAGTTCAAAATATACTTTTAAACTAATCCAAACCAGACATCTATTTAAAAATTCTCGAAGTTTTTTCCACTATGACAAAATGCCATTTACATCTGAAGAAAGCAACCCAGGAGCACGAGAATTGCGCCACCATGTTTAGCTCTAGTACGCTATTCTTTATTCAATACTGGTCTAAAAGTTACAGCTTAGTTTCTTTATATATCTATCAGGTCTTTCAAATTGTATAATGAGATTTAATCCAGGCCTGGAGGTGTTCTGCTATCTTAGAAACTTCCTTCTTTGTCTGAGCATATGGACACACTTAGAGTTGTAAGTTTAAATTGCTCTGTGCTCCTCACAGGCACAAAGACTTAGACTGAGACTAAGATGTATTTTATTTTAGACACACAAGTATAAACAAAAATAAATTTCGTTAAGTACAGCTCTCTAGACTATTTCATTTTTTTAATTGCAGGTAAGCAGCAGTAATAAAAACATTGTGATGAAAAAAGTGGTGAAAACATATGACTATAGTTTTTAAAGATATATATACAAAAATAATATATACATACAAAGATATAGCTACTATACAGGAAATGTATTTCAAGACATGAAAAAAAGCAAATGTCTTATATATATATATATATATATATATATCTTTTTTATTTATATATTTATGTAGAGACCAAAATAAAATCATAAGTGGATAAAAACTGTTTTTATTTTTTTATATTTTTTTTTTAACTACGAAGTTAAAGCAGGAAGAAGTGTCTTGGTGGCCTACCAGAGCAGATTGCTTTGGTTCCCTACTTTTGCCAGTTGTTTATGATTATGTTCACTACAATACAATGTTGAATAATGTCAGAAAAATCATAAAACGCTGGTTTACCTCTACTTTAGTTCTATTAGATTCTCTATATTTGGAGGGTGTGAACTTAAGACCAAAAGATGAAGATAAATCAAAGGTTGCTTCAGCAAGCTTTTAGTTCGAGATGGTGTACACTTAAGCAACCTTGTTCTTTTTATTTTACCTTTATAATATTTTCTGTCTTACCTCCTGCAAGACTGATAATTTATCACTGTCTCAAATTTTGCTTTAAGTATCAGAAACCGGCGATTTTTAAATGGATATAGCCAGTTTTTTTTTTTTTTTTTTTGCTACCTAGACACAAATCATTTCATTCTAAGCAACCACTGCAGCTTATTTTACACTGACTTTTACACTCATTGCTAAGCTCATCTGTTTCCAGGCGGCAACTTTGCCTCCAGATATTCCAACATTTGTCTGCATACGTAACAATGGAGAATGTGGAGTTGCATGTCCGATGGAGTGAGAACATCTTTGTCAGGAGCTGTATGCAGGAATAATGAGGAGCAGTGTGAGCCAGAGGCATGTGCATGCAAAACATCCACTCATGTCATTTTCACCTATAATAGAACACCCAAAATAAAATTCAGTAGTACAAAAGAATCAGTGTACTGTTTTTTTGCAAGACAGACTTTTATTGTTAATTTAAGGGTTGTTGTGCATGTGAGGTTTAGTAAAGATTTTTGAAACTCTTTTGCGTAGGAATGTGTGTGGGTTTTTTTTCTTCGGGAATGAAGGCTTGGCTGTGCTTTGACTTCTGTTTTTGCTGTGGAAAACCCCTATGCAAGCCATAGCGAATGAGTCAGCAATGAATAAAGAGCAGCACAAGGAGCAGATAGTATTGTGGTGCTGTTTGAGAAACAGGTACGAATATGTGAACTTGTCTCTGATTAATATATAAAATGTGTGCTCAGTGTTATCTGTGAGCAGTACGTTCTTAAAATTGTGCACTCCTCTGAGATAGGGTACTTTCACATCTGTGAATTTTTAAGATCTTTCTGCAGGCTAGACTAAGAAACCTAAAGGGCTGTAGCAAGCAGTTACATAAACTAACACATTACATTACAGCCAGAGGTAGATAGTTATTAGTGCCATTCAGTTCATTTACTTAAAAAAAAAGGTAGGATTTAGTGCAAAATAACATTTCTGGCTTCACTTTCCACCTAGTCTCACTGAATGACAATGAACCTCATTATGACCAAAAATTCATACAGTAGGGCCTAAATATCCATTTTAAGTCAGACTTCCTGTTTATATTCAAGCTTTAATATTTCAGTACTATTTTCTATCTGCTGTTGAATTAGGAGTGAGTTGTTGAAATACACCAGACAGAACATGCTGCTTTACCCTGTCACAACACATTATCCATTGCAGTTATAGTCGTATGTAAAAACATGACTTGTAAAAGCATCTGCGTAATTTGGTAAATTTGAAATTATGTTATTTGGTCTTTCTTACTTTAGTCTATAAAATAAAAAATATTTGTATGTTTTCTGTTTGAATCCATCATTTTAAATATTTTATTAGGTTTTATTTTTTTATTCCTTTCTATTTTTAATTGAGAAATTTCTTCATTTGCTATTTCTTTTACCTTAAAAATGTGCAGAATAACAGCCACTATTAGATAGCAATTTTAAGTATTCTATCCCTCTCTAGTGACAGATGAATGATGGTTTGTTGACCAAGGACTCTTTTAAAATACTATGTGTGCCTCTTCTACAATGTTGAGCCAGTAGAGGTCCCTCTCTCCCTTATATAACAGGAAACTCCTATTATATGAAGACCCCATGCAATAAAAATGGGCCCCTCACTGATTTCTTTGGTTTAGATTTTTCGGTCACAGATATCAGCCCACATAACCAAGGTAAATAACAGCTTTTAGCTATTTCATTCATTACGAGGATAAAAAAGTAAATAAACTAGAAAAGCACTCTGAGACCGCACACCTCTGCTAAGCAGCTTATTTTGCCCCAAATTGTAAAATTACACCTATAGCTAAAACTCATACATGATCTGAATAATTACCAAATTTAAATGAGATATTCCTTCCAACGAGGCACATCTCTGGTGAAAAAAAAGCCCATAAAATCTGTTAATAAGTTTTCACAATATTCGCTTTTTTGTGTGTTTTAGTCTTCAGTAAAGTATCTTCAGACTTTTTGAGTCCTGTGCTGTTCCTGTCAATAGTCACTGCTGCCATGGGCAAATAATTTGGCTCCTTTTTCCGCCAAATATCCCTCACTCACAATGTTAAAGAATCTTTAAAAAAAATCCTACCTCAAGATCATGATCTGGATCATCACACCAAAATTTAACGAATTTGGTATGACGAACACCTCTGATAAAAACTTTTTTAAAATCCATCCATAACTTTTCAAGTTATCCTGTACACAGACAGACAAACACACACAAACTCTCCTAAAGACATAACCTCCTGGGCGGAGGCCACAATCTACCGTATTTGAAAAAGCTTTTACACAAAGTAAGTTATTGTTCCACCCTTTGTGACAACATTTCACACTAATCATATTAAAGGAATGTTGCTAAAATGTTGTTAAAATCTTCTTTACATTATTTTCTTAATTCAGATATTTGGAGGTTTAAGTGTGATCTGACTAGCTGGACATTCTCTTGTAGAATTATCTGGTAGTGAAAAAGCATTTTTCTTTTCTCCAAATGTTGGTTGTTGCTGTTCCAAATGTAAAAGGAAGCATGCTATCCAAAACCTTCCTCTATTTTTCATTTGAAGATTAACTTTTTCGAGGCGGCCAGGAGATCAGCAGGAATATTGTAACTTGGAACTTTTACATGGATAATATTTTTCCCAGCCTCCTTCTTGTTAAATCATGAACACTGACCTGACAAGGTAAATAGGGCCTGCAGTGCCTTTATTATGTTTATGTTTCTTTTTAACCTGTTTAACTCATTGGCTTCCTGTTTGAGTAATTTTTGCATCCAGGTAATCCAATTCTGAGAAGGATCCTCACTTTTTCTATTTTTTTATTTAGTATTTTTGGTTTACGGCTACCACTGTGGTTTCTTACAGGTCTCACAAACCACAGTGTTTAACCATTGTGAAATTCATTTGAAACACTGAGTTTAACAAAAAAAAAAAAAAAAAACTCACAACGTTCCTATTTTTTAAATAATCATTTAAAATTTAGGGACATTGTGTGTCCGTGGACGGAGTATCTCCTTAATTTCACCAACACGCCTGGGGGCTCTGGGTCGGGTTCGCCCATCTCTGGTGCTGAGCTCACTGAGGTGATTAAAAAGCTCCTCAGTGAGTACTCGGTATTTAATTTGATTACATGGTTTTAAATTTATTTTAAAAAATTGTTTTTTGCTTCATGCATATTATGTGTACTCTCTAAGCCAGGAAATCTTAAAAATTTTAATTATGTTTTTATAAATAACACCAAAGATTGTTGATTAAAGTATAAGTTCTTGATCCAATACGCATTAATGCGGTGCATTAAAAACCTAAGAAAATGGTCAGTATCATCCCCAACACTAAAAGGAACATTAAGTACATTTAATCACTAAGTAAATGTCCAACTTAAAACTCTTTCCAAGTTAATTAGACGTGCTTCCATCCACCTGTTCTAAGTGAGGTTTAGTCTCCATGTTTTGCATGGTTGATCCTGGTTTAGTAACGCAAAGCTGTGTGAGACAAATGGATTGAACAAGATTACCCTGAAAGAGAAATGGTCTTATCTAATAATAGCCTCCACTAGAAAAAAGAGGGTGCCAGACAATGGGTGGTACAGTTAAATAGAGGGGTACAAAACAACCAGGCTCATCTCCTATCTCTCCAAACCCTCTTTGTCACGCGTGCTGCTCTTTCTCTCCTACAGTATCTTGGACGCTGGTAAGGTCTCTATGGGTTCTAAAGAAAATATTGTGTTGTTTCTCTGATTGCATACATTTGATGTTTTAATTCATATTTGTTCTGAGAAGATGGTTATCCTGCCTGCAGATTGGTGAGATAATGTTTTTCTTGCTCATAATGCAATTTCTATCTTTGTATCATTAAATGGAGCTTTTGTCTTTCTGCTGTGACTTTGTGTAAATATTAACCATAAACAACAGAGCTATATTATAGTGGAATATTTTAATAATGTATAACTTTATCAGAATTGATAGAGGGATGTTCTCCTTAAATGTAAGTCTCGTTTGGGTTTTGCCAAGTTGATCGCACCACAGAGGATTGTTACTGTAGCTCCACTATTAGAGAATCCATGATCCAGGCCGGGCACCAGGGCCCCCTCCACAGCTGTTTGGTCTATTTGGGGAGACAGTCTAGTCCACTCCAAATTCCTATGATACAGATAATCATGAAGGGAAAGATGGGGATGAAGGACATAAGAGGAGAATCAGGGAGGGTTTTCACTTTGGAATTTTCCTAATTCGCTGCAGCAGCTTGTAGCTCTAATAAACCTAAAGTCTTACAGTATGTGATGCAACTCTTTATATTAAAAAGCATGAGAAGGACATTAATTCTGGGGAGACAGATAGTGGACAAATGCTAACAATCATTGTTGAATAAAGGACCAAAGCCTGTTATACAAAGGGGAAGGGAGAATATCAGATGTTAAAAAATATTCCATAAAACCAGACTAAACACATTTGCAACTCAGTTGAAATTTAAGACTGCTTTTAAGATTTTTTCCTTTACCCAAAATCTTAAAATGGTCACCTCTGAGAATTACTTTGAGAACTTGCAGTACTGATTTATCCAGTGAGAGAGAAAAAGGATAAAGGTTGTGTCTTATTAGTAACTTTGGAATCTAACAAACTGACACTCCACCCATGGATTTAAAAGCTCTTAGTAATGGATTTGCTTTGCCTGTGATTCAACACACCAACAAATGTCCAACTGTTATTCCAAACTCAAATTTTTTTTTGCAGTAATCAGACAAAACACAGTTAATCATCGCTATTGTTTTATTTATCTGGTATTACACACAAAGTAAGAAATGTTGATGAAAACGCTAAACCTCAGCTTAAAGAGTACGCGATAAAACCATTTAAATTCTTCAAAAAATATTTCAGTATAACCTGCTACCAAAATTAAACTGTACATTTTGTTAAAATTCCACATCAAGAAAGCAATTATGTCAAAGTTTTATGAAAGATGTTTAATAGTCCTCAAAATTCACGTTTTTGGTAATATTTAGAAGCTAAAAAAAGTCTTACCCAGCAGGATAATGCCTGTTAATCTCTGCTCTACAATCAAGCATTAGGTGTGTTGACAGATGATAAGCCCCATCAAAGGCTAATTGACAAACACTGACAACTGCTATGTTTCTAATCTCTTCTGTATCTCAGCCAGAGAGCCCTCATCAGCAAGATGCCTGAGAATGTGTGAGTGATTAAACTTTGCGTTCTTATTATAGATCATTTACTCAGTCAAAAACACAAAATCACAAAGCAGAATTGCTGCTTAACTCTGGGATTGTTGTTGAATTATGTCCTATCTTTCTTTACAGACAAGAGGTAAGATTCATTTCTCAAAAAATATTTGAGGAACAATGCTTAGGTGTGAATGCAATATGATTACTAAAAATATCCTACCAATGCAGAGAAAATCAAAGATATCAGCCTCAAGGAAGCTTATGCTGAAGGTAAGAAACATCACTGCCAAATATTAGCTTTCATAATTTACATGTAATGTAGGTATTTTACCACATGAGAGCGATAGAGATTCACAACATTTATTCCTCTCCTCCTCACAGTCTTTACAGTTAAAAACACATTGGTGTGCGGCTCTGAACAAATACTAATACAACAAATGATTAAATACTTTGGCTCTAAACGATAATTGTTTATGCAGAGCCTGATGGTGGCAAAGGCAAAGGAGGAACTGGAGCAGGAGAGTCTCGTCAAAGAAGAAGAAAAACAGAAGTACCTAGCAGAAAAAGCTGCTCCTCTGAACACAACTGGTCTAAGTCTTGCGCAGCTGCAGGTGCCAATCCCCAATTATAAATGAATTTCATTCTTTCTCATATAAATGCTGGTTTTACTTCACATTTCCAATTCTTGTATTTGTGTGAAGGATCTTTGCAGATCGCTCCATGCAAAGATTGATGTTGTTGATGAGGAAAGATATGACATTGAAGCCAAAGTTATGCTTAACACACGTGAGGTGGGTAAACAATACAATACAAGCTTATTTTCAGTCATACGGTACAGGAAACCTTACAACACCCCCCGAAGCTGTTCCAATGCATTTGTCATTTCTCTCTTGCCGGATCAGATTAAAGACCTAAACATCAAGGTTCTGGACCTCAGGGGGAAATTCAAGAGGCCTAACCTTAGACGCGTGCGTGTGTCTGCTGACGCCATCCTTCGTTCTCTGCTGGGTTCTAAGCACAAAGTCTCCATGGACCTCCGAGCTAATCTGAAGTCGGTCAAGAAAGACGACACTGAGAAGGTGCAATTAGAAAGAAAACACTGCACAAACTGCCAATCAAAACAGTCCGAGAAAGATGCAAACCTTCCTGAGGGTGCAGGCTGTTATATCTGTGAGGTCAATGCTCAGTGTGCCACTGACTACAAAGACAATGTGTTTATGTGTATTTAAAAGGTGTGTTTGAGTAATCCAATAGATGGCTTGTGCAGGGTGGAGGTTTGGTACACAACACAAAGATACGATTGCAAACTTTGTCACTGATTCTGCTCAATGGACACTATTTGTCAGTGAATGCGTATATCCTTGGATTACTCTGTTCAGGTGTATACTTGTCTGTATCTGTGTGTTTGCACTGATCCACGAACATCCGAGCATTACATCAAGAAACCAGTTCCACAAGTACTGTTAAACACTGTTCTCTTTGGGGATTTCCGTTTTATAGCACAGGTCTCAGAGGCTTAACAAACAATGGTGTTTTCGAAAGCTTCTCTTCTCCACAGTATGAACAAAGAAACGTCTAGGTCTTTTATACACGTTCTTACATCATCTGTTTACCTATTTATCCTCAGAAGAGGCCGGTGGAGGACAGCGATTGGAGGAAGAATGTGGAGGCCATGTCTGGGATGGAGGGAAGGAAGAAGATGTTTGACGCCGCTAAAGGCTCTGCTCAGTGAAGACAGAAAGATGGCTATCTTCCCATTTGCTGTTGTTGATCTGCTACTGTTCTTTGCAGTCTATGTGTCTTTTTTCACATTTTATCTTTGAGTTTGATTCTGTCTTGATTGTGAGAATATGTCCTCTAATTTTCATCCTTTGTGTTTGAATCGAGGTTTCCACTAAAGGTAGATCAAATTTATCGAATAATTTAGCTTTTTTTGTGTTTGACCACTATTTTAACCTAATTATAAACTTTACACTTGATTTCAAAATTGCTTTTTGTTAAAGTATGCTGCATATTTAGATAAAGCTATTTATCATGATAATTGAAATAATTAATTAATATTGCAATGTTGGTTTGTGAACAGTAGCAACCTGTTTAAAAAGAATAAAAACATGTTGCAAATATTTGATTTCTCAACATTTCCTGTATTTTTGTTGTTATTCAATTCAGTTTATTTATATGGCACCATTTCACAACATATGTCATCTCAAGGCACTTTACAAAGATTATGCAACCAGCTCATATAGTCAGATTGGTCCAAAGGCAAACAGCCGATTGCATTAACCTGGATTTTCATTTACACATAAATGTCTGAAATGAAAACAAAAGGTATATTTGTTCCTATGGCAAAGATTCTCCATGCATCTTTTATATTGTTTTTACAATGTAAATGTATTAGAACAATAGGTTATTGTGTTTAACAAAGAATGTTAAGGTTATAAAATTTGCAAAAATTTTATAACCTTACAGTGAAAATTAAATCCATCAAAAAGTATCCACACCATTAAAAGTAAAATATTGGTTACTGTCGTTTTTTTGTTGTTGTTTTTTTTTTTTTTAACATATTGCTGTTGTCAGAGAGAAACTATCTAAAAATATTTTACTTTTTGGAAAAGTAAGGACACACTTTGTTTCCAAATGTACATTTATTCAATTGTTCAAAGTCACATTTTTTTTATATATATATAAATATTTTTCTTCGGTAGATTGGAAAGACACACAATAGATTTGATTCTTCACAAGAAAAGAAATAAAAACTGAGAAAGGACTTGCCTAACGGTGAAAATATTGTTTTGAAAACAGGTTAACATGAAATGTTTGACTTTAAGTTTGGAAAAGTTTTTTTTTTATATTTATTTATATTAACAAAGGCTTTACACAGCAGTAAAAAGCTGTATCTGTCAGAGGCTGTGCAGTTGAACATTTTCTGCTAAACAAGATTCCTTAACAGCTGCTTGCTTTGTATCTCCATAAAACATAATATCCTCCTTCCTGTTTGAAGAAAAAAAACTTACATGGTTGGGTGTAAATGGTATTGCCATTTGGAAATAAAGATTTTTCATATGTCTTATTCTATAAAAGATAATATATAATGATATATTTAAAACTCTTGGTTTAAGAAACATTTCAGACATAAGTGGAATGCACAAAGTTAAAATGTTGGGCTGCAGAAACTGAAGAGTCACATGCAAATAGTTCTATTTGATAGCATCTCACTCTAAAAGAGACTTTTCTTTAAACATCAAGAAAACAGGTTTAGTTTTGCACAAAAATACAGTATAAAAAACAAAGATTTTCCATAATTTTAGGTTGTTCATCAGCATGTCAGTTCTTAAATTGCAGAGTTTAGGGTGAGATGTTGGAACCTTGATGTGATGGGCAGTATGTGTGTAATGGTGTGTGTCTCTCTCTCTCTCTCTCTCTCTCTCTCTCTCTCTCTCTCTCTCTTCTTTAGACTCAGATAGGGTCAGAGTCCGACACACAACAAGGGAAGGTGTGGCCTCCAACGGTAAAGCAAACAGTCTCAATAAAAGTGTGAAAAGTCTCCCTGCTACTTACAACAACATTCTATTTACTATATTGTAATAAGATCATTATTACACAAATGCACACGCATATACAGTAACTGAGTAAACAATATTGATGTTAACATCAATATGTATATCTAATGAAGTTAGAGCCAAATTTTGGCTGTAACTTCATAAGATATACATATTGTTATGTTATATGTTATACATGTTATATTGATAATCATACGTAAATGTATGAATCAGACCTACTTTCACCATACAAGGAGAGGAGAGTGTGCCTCTCTCTCCACCTCCCCCTCTCCGTCAGGTGGAAGACTCACCTCTCTGGTCATGTGACATTTCAATGTACTGCACCCGGCTAAAGGTGGACTGCTTTGTGCAACACAGACTCTAAGTTTACTGCCTCTGTCAGAGTACCAGTCTGCTGACTTTTTTTCTGGTCATCTCAGTGAACTGGAAAGTTTTCTGCTTTTCTCCCAACATGTCTATCAGTCGGAAAAACTGGTCCGCTCTATCCAGGTAAGGCTAACTCTACCTTTTTTTTGTAAAACGGACAATGACACCTGTTGTTAACTTAAAGGGACACTTCCCACACTTTGATTTAAACCTAAGTTCAAGCTTTGGTTTTACTCTGGAATACAAAAGATTGGAACTTTGAAATTAGATCATCTGGGTAAATATTTCCTTTATTTTAACTTTACACCTAAATTTTACAGTTTGAGTGTTAAAACAGGTGTTCAAAACTGAACTGAGGGTAGCTCCGTATTTATGTTGCTCTTTGCCTTGCTTTGTAATTAACTGATTGTTCTGTTGTGATAGGCTGAGTCAATTGATAAAATTTGCCTTTTAAGCTGAACAAGTAAAACAGGTTCTGTGTAACAGTTGCTTTTACTAAAATCATTCATTTTAATATAGCCAAAATGGACGGCTAGTTTTCCTTGTCATTGTTTTTCTACACATGCTTCCTGTTTTCAAATTTGATCTCATTGTTTCATTATCAGTTTAATATTTGCTGATGCTATAACATAATTTCTCCCATATGCATTCTCAATCAGCCTTGCCCGTCAGTGGACTATGGAGGATGAGGAGGAGGCAGAGAGGGAGAAAAGGAGGAGGGTGAAGAGCAGCACTGCTGAACAAGATGCAGACACCAGCCCTGCCAAAATAACGCCATCAACAAGTGGCGGCATCTCCGGCACTGAATCGTCCAGTGAGACATCTCAAGGACAAACCAGGTGGAAATGATGCTTAAATAACCAAACAATCTGTCTTAAGCCCTATTATTTTTTTCTAGTTTTATTTTTTGTAAATACAACTGAGCAACAAAAAGATAATTTGAACATTTGACAGCTTTGCTTCTATGGACTGCTATCTTTATCTTTCAAACACACAAAAATATTATACCACAAAGCAAGAAAAACTGCCAAAGGCACCCACAAATGAGTATCTGGAGTCTAAGCAGTCTTTATACAGAAAGAAATGACTGAACAACTCTTTGTTATAGAAATCTGACAGGACATATTTTCAAGTGCTCTCTGAAAGCTATCCAGAGGTAAACATGTGTGTATGTGATGATGTTCACAGTATCGAGCAGATGCAGCTGGACTTTGTGGAGATGCTGAGAGTCCGTGATGAAAAAAGGAGGATGAGACATGTGGAGGTATTGAGACGACAGAAAGAGGAAGAGGAGGGTAATTTGGATGCAAGCCGAGAAGAAGGAGGGGAAGGAGATGGCAGGGTGGTGCTTCTTGGGGAGTTGGATGAGGAGAAGGGCAGTGTGTTCAAACCACAACCACCAGCTAAAACAACTTCCTACAGTCCCATCAGCAACAGCAAAACTGTAACTAACAGTGCAAAAACACAAGTAAGTAGAAAAACTTTTATTTTTCAGTGAAACCAAATTCAATGACTGTTATGTGAATTAGAGGGAAAACATGTGGTTAGAAGAGTCTTTATGCAAAAGCCCAGTTACTGCTCGCAATGTTTTTTTTATCATGTAGAGGTTATCTCTTAGCCAAAAAGGAAGGGTGGAGTTATTGTAGCACACCTGCAGCAAAGCTTTACTTTGTGAAGCCTTCTATTGTGTTTTTTTCTGTATTGAGCTGAAGGTTATGATAACCAAACCATGAAATAAAAGCTACAGGAAATGAAAGTAACATAAAAGGTGAAAACCCACATAAGATAGCTGTGTTTAGGGATATCAATATTTAAAACTTAATAATGTATAGGCAGGTAGCTGCCAACAGTCTAATTATGTTAGGATGACCGCATACATAGCTCAATCAGTGGTTTCTTAAGATAAAATGTAAGGGATTACAACATAAGGTTGGGTACACAGGAAGTACAGAAAGCAATTAGACTTGCTCGAGTTGTTTTAAACTCTTCATGGTCACACAAAGAGATGGAAACACCTCCCATTATCATTTAAAAAAAGGCAATTCTCACTGGAGAATAAAAAAAAAAAACTATAGAAAACTCACCGAAGCTGAATCAGCTGACAATACAATAGAAAGCAAGGAGAAATACAGGAACAGGCTGGAAAACCAGCTAATGTAGAGCAGCATCAGAGATGTTTGTTCAGGGGTGAAGAAGATCACAGGATTCAAGCAGAACGAGGATCAGAAGGATAGAAGTCTGGACAGAGCAAATTAACTGAATATATTCTTCAATAGTTTCAGTTCAGGAACACGCTCAGGATACTTCTCTCCTGCACAGTCAAAGCAACACCTCACACTCATTTGACCCAAATCTTCTCCGTCACACCTTAAATATTTTGTCTTCCACCTCTGCCATGGGACCCCTGCTTCAATACATTTTTTGTCAGCCAGATCAGATGATGGTGTTTCAATATTCTGTCCTGAGACGTCAAGTGCAGAGGCAAGTGCAGAGGCAAGTGAAGAGAAGGAATTGAAATAAGTCACCAAGTCCTAATAGTATCAGCACCAGAGTTATGAAGTACTCTGTAGAGCAACTCTGTGGAATTATACAGCACTGCTTCCACCTTAGCCTGACCCGAGAGATGGTTGCAGTGAAAAAAGACTCAGCCTGTTGCCCTGACATCCCATACCAGGAGACACCTCTGCTGGTTCACCTTACCAAGCAAACAAGTAGCTATCAGGATCCCCTGCAGTTTGCTTATTGCTTCGTTTAAGATGCCATCATACACCTGTTTCAATAAAACCACTGTCTTTTAGAGAAGGCAGGCAGCACTGTGAGGATCATGTTCTTTGATTTCTCCATTGTGGTTGATATAGTTCAGTTGGATTTTCTTTGCCAGAAACTTCAGAAGCCTTAGTTGGAGGCCTGGATCAAAAACTACCTTGCAAACAGACCACAGATTGTTCAACTGAAATGTCTACTGTCTAATGAAGTAGTCAGCAACACAAGGGCACCACAGGGGATTGTACTCTCACCTTTTTTTTTACTATGTACACGTCTGACTTCCAGTACAACAAAGAGTCTTGTCATCTGCAGAAATATTCAGATGAGTCTGCAGTCATTGGGTGTATCAAAAATGGACAAGAGGCTAAGTAGAAGTAGCTGGTGGACCACTTTGGCATGATATGTAAACAGTCATCTGATCATGAACGTGGCCACAAGAAGGGAAATGACTGCAGATTTCGGAAGAAAATAAATAACTTGCATCCTAATAACATTCTGGGAGAGGAAGTGGAGGTTGTGTGTGTGGTGTTCACCTGGACAAAGACCTTGACAGCTGTGAAACCATCTACAAGAGGCAGTTGAAGATTGAGATTAAAAACAAGCAAAGAGTGCAAACTATCCTGTCAGCATCTTACAGCCAGCTATTATGTAAAGTTGCAGGGGGTTATTTGCACATCCTGTATATTTGGTTTCCTGTAATGAAGTGGATCAGTGGATTTTTGTCTTGTACTCCTGCTCCTTTGAATCCAATGTTACCATAGGCTTCTGCGCTGTCCATCAGTCCAAGCACATCTAACAATAAGCTGTACTTAATTAAATTACCCACTTTCTCAATCTATCAGTCAAACATCTGTAAAGGACCTGATTTTCTTATGACGCTTCCTTCCAGATCTCTACTACATATTGTCATTCTGGGCTGGGCGTACAAGCGGCGACTATGCTCCCTCTTCATTCATTTGCTAAGGAACCTGTGCGATAAAGCCACAATAGCTTGCCCTTCTCCAGCCAAACCACTGGAGAAACTCTTGTATGGGCCTGCAACGTAACTCAAGAAAGTTCAAAATTGATAAACTGTTGTTACAGTTGCATGGCCAAAAATCAAAACAGTGAGGGTTTTACTGACTGATCATAAATTAGAGGAAGCTTCAGTGTACAATGCAGTCTGCAACCACTTTCGGAATGGAAAAAAAAAAAAAACACAATTTCAGCTGTTTGTGACTTTCCTATAATATATGATTTCAGTCAGTTGCTTATTTCAGTGATTTCAACAGCAAGTTATTTCAATAGCAAACAGATTAGGCATTTTTTTATGCCTGTTGTCCCTCGTGCTGCAAACAGGATTCAAACTTTGGTTGCCAGCACCTATAATTTTGCCTGCCTGCCTGCCTGCCTGCCTGCCTGCCTGCCTGCCTGCCTCCATCCATCTTCTTCGGCTTATCCCGGGTTGGGTCACGGGGTAGCAGCTTAAGCAGGGATGCCCAGATGTCCCTTTGCCCAGCCACTTGGGCCAGCTCCTCCTGGAGAACCCCAAGGTGCTCCCAGGCCAGCCGAGGAACATAGTCCCTCCAGCGTGTCCTGGGTCTCCCCCTGGGCCTCCTCCTGGTGGCGATGCCTGGAACACCTCACCAGGGAGACGTCCAGGAGGCATCCTAACCATATGCCTGAAGCACCTTAACTGGCTTCTCTCGAAGTGAAGGAGCAGCGGTTCTACTCTGAGTCCTCCCTAGATGACTTAGCTCCTCACCCTATCTCTAAGGTAGCGCCCAGACACACTAAGGGGAAAACTAATTTCAGCTGCTTGTATCTGGGATCTGGTTCTTTCAGTCATGACCCAAAGCTCATGACCATTGATGGGAGTAGGATAGTAGATTGACTGGTAAATCAAGAGCTTTGCCTTTTTATTTAGCTCTCCCTTCACCACAACAGACCGGTACAGCACACACTTCACAGAAGACGCCGCATCAATAAGCCTGTGGATCTCCTGCTTCAACTTCCCCTCATTTGTGAATAAGACCACAAGATACTTGAAACTTCTCAACTAGGGGCAGTACATCCTCTACAACCCGGAGAAGGCACTCTACCCTTTTGTGGCTCAAGACCATGGTCTCGGATTTGGCGGCACTAATCTTCATCCCGACCACTTCACACTCGGCTGCGAACCACTCCAGTGAGAGTCATAGATCATGCCCTGATGAAGCCAATAGAACCACATCATCTGCGACTAAAAGATATGATCCAAAGGCCACCAAAAGGGACCTCTTCAACACCTTGGCTGCACCTAGAAATTCTTTCAATAAAAGTTATGAACAGAATCGGTGAAAAAGGTCAACCTTGGTGGAGTCCAACCCTCACCGTGAACAAGTCCGACTTACTGCCGGCAATTCGAACCAGGCTCTGACACCCCCCACAGCACCCCCAAGGGACAAGGTGGAATGCCTTCTCCAGATCCACAAAACACATGTAGACTGCTTGGGCAAACTCTCATGCGCCTTCCAGGATCCTGCTGAGGGCTCCTCCTGAATCGAGATTCAACTATCCGACGGACCCTCCTTTCCAGAACCCCGGAATAGACCATACCAGGGAGGCCTAAAAGTGTGATTCCTCTGTTGGAACAGACCCTCCGGTTCCCTTTTTTAAATAGGGGGACCACCACCCCAGTCTGCCAATCCAGGGGAACTGCCACTGATGTAAACGTAATGTTGCAGAGTCGTGTTAACCAACACAGCCCTACAACATCCAGAGCTTTAAGGTACTCAGGGAGAATCTCATCCACCCCTGGGGCCCTGCCATCAAGGAGCTTTTTAACCACCTCAGTGACTTCAGCACCAGCGATGGGAGAACCCGACCCGGAGCCCCCGAGGTTTTGCTTCCTCAATTGAAGACGTGTTGGTGGGATTAAGGAGGGCTTCGAAGTACTCCGCCCACCGACACATGACGTCCTGAATCAGGGTCAGCAGCACACCACCCCCACTATAAATAGTGTTGGTACAGCACTGCTTCCCCCTCCTGAGACGCTTTCCGTTATTCAATTAAATTCAATTATACTTTACAAATATATGTATTTCAGAACTCCCAGGTACAATTTTGCCCAAGTTATCGAACTTCAACAACATTTATATTACTTTGTTTCTTCTTAGGTGGATCAGTGACTTAATGTCTCGTTATTTCATGACAAACAATTAGATATTTGAGTTGATTCATGTTGTCTGTTTAGCCCTTTTTTATCATGATGTGGCTGAGGGGGATCACATTAATGCCGAACAGAGCATCACTTTGGGATATTCTGCTTTTGAATCTGACTTGTCCAATTGAGTTAGAATTGTGCTCACAGACCTGTTTGCCCTACTATTTAGCTGCTGGAAAACTGTATACATTTTTGTTTAAAAAAGATACTTATTATGATACCATACAACTCAGAAAGTAATATGATGGTTTGTAACTCTTCTTTTCTTCAGGGATATTTCTTTGTGTTTAACTGTCATAAACAGTGTAGCCCAATGTGTTAACGGTTAATATCTTTATGTGTGTATGTCATTTGGACTGCTGGTGTCCTCCCAACATCTGGGAAGAAAAGGAATTTTATTGTTTTTTGTAGGACAACCAGTTTTTATAAAACATTTTCCTTTGGACCTTCCTTTGGATATGTCTTCTAACAACACAAATGGAAAATCAGTAGGCAAACCATTGAGTCACAGTTGTGTTATTTATACGTCTCAAAGTTCTGGCAGTGCTCTGACAACTGTAACACCTTAGTATGGCTGATTTCTTACCCCACGCAAAGGGTGAGTTGTGTTAATCATTTCCCAGTTCTACAGCAACAAAATCAAGCAATGTTGGATGTTGATTGCTATCGTAGGCCAACTACGGCAAAGTGTCTTTTGGTTATGTTCTGGCTACAGGTTACTGAACCGGATTTAGTTGATCATCACATCATTTTATATAATTTGATCCATTAGTTCTGAAAAATATACAGTACAGCCAAACATGTAGACAAGGTGTTGCACTTTTATCTCATGCTATCAAACTCAACATTAAAAAGTAATTATTTTTCTATATGAACTGTGTTTCTGCTTTGGTGTGGAGGGTTTTGGACAATGTGGATCTCTCAATCAACTTGCTTCTTTAGCGAAAATGCAGTAAAACAAGCAAAATGCATTGTTAATAGATACATAATTATGTCTTTGGATGTCATTTAAACTAAACTTTGACTCTTGCATTAAGATAATATGCAAAGAAGGTTTAAGGTTAAATGCTGAATAGCTGTGCTCAGTTATTGGACTTGCACTTGTTCTGTGAAGCAAATGGATATGCAAAATATCTCTAAACCCTTGATAAGAGATATTTAAAGCCATAATTTGAACCTTATCTGGTCTTAAACATACAGTGCATTCACTTACAGTATAACTGGAAATTAGGACATAATTACACTGTTATGTAATGTGAAGTGTGTTGCAGATAGACTTAGGCTTAGACAACATTTACAACAGTGATCAAATGTAAACATCTACAGCATTCAGTTTGCTATAGCTAGCTATGCCTACTGGAATTTATTCAGTTTATTTAAATGTATTCCATTTTATTTCTTTTTTTTGTAGCCCAGTAACGGGGAGTCGTCAAGCAAAGACCCGACACCTGAACCCAAACCAGCCCCCAACGCAGCTCGCAAGTTTGTCAGGTTATTAACTGGACTTTATATTGATTCCTATCTAGTTATTTATGATTAATAAATACTAAATAATATACATTACAATCACAGACTTGTGAGGGAAGAAAATATATAATATATAAAAAATAATAATGTTGTGCACCTTGGTGAGTTCAAAAGTTGCCTGTCTAGCTAATATAGTTCACTTTAGTATAAACAATAAAAAGAAGTTTATAGCAGCGTTGGGTTATAAAGCGGTATCTCAGTGTGTAAACATCTTACAGTGTCCTGTTCAGTCTATCAGCTAAACTACAAGTGAATGGAAAAGTTTGAGATAACTGTAAACCTATTAAGACACAGCCATTCACCAATCAGACTGAGCTGTCAAAAAGGCTGCTGCAGCTTTTTAAGAATTTGGAAAAGTGAAAGTTTCAGGGGAGATAGTCTGAGAAAAGGACAATTCTTAATCATGTACTCCAATAATCTGGCATTTACAAAAGATAGTCATAAAGAAAGCTATATTGGAGGAAGGTGGCTTGAGAGTAGTTTAAAATTAAAGCTGTCCACCAGCCTGAACACATGACCACCACAGTAAAACATGGTGGCGGCTGCATATTTGTTTAAAACAAGCCTGTATAGTGAATTACTCAAAATGGATGGAGTAGCCAGAAATTTTACTTACATAGGAGTGGAGATACTTTTATCATATTTTTACTGAACTAAAAATAAAAAATTCACACTTATGTTTTTTTTTTATTATGTTAATTATGTAAATTAACTAGTTACTACCCACATCTGGTATTTAGATGAATAGCTGGCGATGCTCTGACTGCAGCTAAAGATGTTTTGCTATATACAAATGCAAAGCAGACCTGAAGGTGTAAAAATGTTTTGAAAAACATTAATAATTTCTGGAAGGGAAAGGAAATTATTAATGTTTTTCAAAACATTTTTACACCTTCAGGTCTGCTTTGCATTTGTATATAGCAAAACATCTTTGATTACATTAAAACAAAGTGAAACACAGAACTTTATGTTTGTAATATGACAAAAAAGTAAAGCTTCCACGTTATGAATATTTCTTTAAGGTATTCTAAGCAAATGAAAGCAACCATATCCTAAGTTAAAGCAATGCAAGTGTAAGTAATGACACATTTAAAGCAAAATGTTTAAACTTGATGCCAAAAAAAGTTTTTATCCTTTATTTATTGTTATTCATAATTAAGAGATTCTCACGCAGTCAAATATACTGTTTTTGAAGATCTGATTATGCGTGGGAAGACTGAGGAAGTCTTATACTTCTGGCTTTCTCGTTAGATAAGCAAAGTTCTTCTTTTGATCACCTTGTTTGCTTTGAGGCAACAATGGTCACTGTTATGCTTGTCTCTCACACCATCTTTCATTTTCTTAATCATTTACCAACTGTAAAAAAAAAAAAAAAAAACAGTTTCATTCTTAAATACATGGTCATTCATTTACTCAAATTACTTCATTTGGCAACAAGTAATGGAATCAAGTTAATTCAACTTGTATATTTAGTTTATAAGTTGCCAATTTAAATAAGCTCCTCTGTTCCTTTATAGAAACTGTGCTGTTCTGTGCAATATTCCTGTGTTATTCAATTTCTTAGTTTAGGTTTATTAGTATGCATCTTAACAGCACTATTAATGTTTGCATTTAATGAATGCAAAAAAATAAATAAATGTAGATGTTTACCAAAATGTACCTACCAAAATAACATAACTGAAAAGTTGTACTGAATCAGTTGTACTGATTGTTATGGAGACCAAACAGCTCAGATATTTTCTTGTCAGATCTCTACGACTTCTCCATACAAGACATTCATTTGTCTATAAATGTAGTTGTAAATTTCATAACAAGCTTAAATTTGTTATTCTTTTAAAGGAGGGGCTTTTGTATTGGTTATCACAAAATAGCTGTATGCAATTTGATTAACCTTAAACAGCGACTATGCTGGCCCAAAAGCTCAGGTTTGAGGTACGCACATCATTGCTGTTTGAAAACAACTGTTTATTCACTCTAAACCAACATTAAACTAAACTTATATGGAAATTGGGTTTTGAATGCATACATCAGGATTTACAATGCTTTGGAAAGCCCTGACCTCAACCATGCTTAAAATGAGTGGACACTTCCTTAAAGCTTGATCAGTTCTGGAAAACCAGTGTAGATTAAATAAATAGAATGATCTAAGCTAATCTAACCAAGAAGAGCAGTTAAAGATCAACCAGAATTCTATCAGAAGCTTGTTGATCGTTGGTTAACAAAAAGCTTCACTTTAATAAGTGACTTTCAGTTAATGTTAGCAGAAATTTTCATTTATATCGTATATCTAAGCTAATAAGTAAATGTTGGCTGTGGGGCGTAAATTTTTTTTTATTAGAATACACATTTCTATTGTTTCATAAACCAACAAAGCTGTTAGTAACAAGATAATTACAAAAATTCACTGTTTTATCTACTTAAAGCCTGAAACAATTATCATATTTAGAAGCATAAAGTTCATGTTAATGTTATTTCTATAGTATAATGATAAAATAAGACTTTTTAAATTATTTATTTCTTATGTATGTTAGAATAATCATTGAAATTCTGCATGTTTCTGCTGTTGCAGCTCTGTCTCTATTTCCCTGGACAAGACTCCATCAGGCCGTACCACTCCCATGAGCCCTTGCTCTCCATCAGCCTCCTTATCCCCTCAGGATCCCTTTCCCTCGCCCTGCCAAAGCACATCCTCTCACGGATCTCAAAGCCCCGTCCAGAATGGACACACACAGGCGGTATTCCACCACACACAAACACACACTAATATAAGAACAGAAGGCACAATTTACAGCTTCATCTCAGCTTCCTGTTTTTGTCTTGTCAAATGGATTTCCAAAGAGCTACTGCTGGAGCTTTTGCTTTCTTTGTGGTGCAACTTCACATGATACTTACTGTATAGTGGCATTAAAACAATAAAAATGGATAAAATTTAACTTAAACCACAGCTCAGTTTGATTACAGAAACAGCACCTCCTGGTGGAGAGCGAATGTTCAGGCCTATATATTACCATCTAAAACCCATATATATACAGTATATATATATATATATATATATATATATATATATATATATATATATATATATATATATATCTTAAATGTCACAACATCTAGCAGGAAGCTCGTCTGTTCTTTACCCCAGATCAGTGAGAACGGTTCTTCAACCAGCAGAAACTTCGAACAGGTGACCAAACCTGCTTTCGTCAGGCAGAGCTCCAGGACCATATCTTTCAGGGTAAACGCACACCTATGAATACATTCATTCTTCCTTCTAAATGCCAACATTAAGTTCTTCCAATTTGACTGTTAATCTCACATCAGCTTGGCAGAATTTGCTTGTGCTGCTCAAAGCTTTTGCCTGGTGTTGATAAGACTGAAGCAATATTTACAAGCTGACTGCCTGCTTTGTTAACATCCAAACACATCACATGAGAGCAGATAAATGTGCAGAACTTAAGCATCCAGACAGAGTAAGTGAAGGATTCTGTACAGACACTCATAGAGGATTGTTTCAACATAGATGATGAAGAAAAAGGAAGAGGATATCTCGCCATTGAAGAGGAGGTGAGGAACCAACCCTGCCAGTATTCCTAGGTTATTTGTATCTGTTTCTAGATATCTGATTGATGACTGATTTGTTTTACTGTAGTGCAAGTGTCCGGATGGCCTCCAAGAAGTTTGAAATGAAGACGGTAAGAACGTCTCAAATTTGACCTAAAGTGATGAAATTGAATAAATATTTTTAAATGAAAAGTTTGTTACTCATGGATGATTAAACCTTCAGCTGATGGATATTACCCTTCATTTTTAGCAGAGATACATCAGCACCAATCCATAGGAACTTAGTGCTGACTTTCAATAGAATAATGTGGTGTACTGTACTGTAGTAATGACTCTATTTTCTGTTTGGGTTTTGACTAGGACCAAAATGAAGATGAGGATAAGGGATCTTTCCAGAGAAAGTGAGTAGATTTTTTTTATTTTTCTTCTTTTTTTTGTATTACACATTATATTTGTTTAAACCACTGTAGTTTTTGGTAAAGAAGTCCATAAATCTATTATGCATGTTCAGTTCTAGGCAAAGGGTCTCATCCAGATCTATCAAGGAGAAGATGGAGCAGCTTGCTCAGGCAGCCCAGGTCAGAACCTTAACCAAATATGTTGACTTTGGACTTTTGTTTGGATCTTTTTCCTTCTAATGTAACACTTACTATGCGTTCAAAAAGATGTTATTATTTTGATCTGTTTCCATTCTTTGCATATGTTACTTTTGTTAATGATGTAAAAGTGAAGCACTGCAGCATCCACAGTAAAACCTTGATGCATTGCAATGACTGGAGTTTGAGATCTTATCGATGAACCAGGCTCTGGCTACAGTAGACGCAACCTCTTACTTAAGTTTTATTTTTTCTTACACGTATTTTGGTTAGGTCTGTATCTACACAATCTGTAAGGTTCATGTAAAACATGCTGCATCAGCAGCTGATGATACCAGTACGAATAGTGACTTCAAAACTTGCTTAGCCTAAATTGAGAACAAAATAGATTTTAAAAATGGAAATAAACATAAAATCAACCTATTTCTGTTCTGCTTTCTAGAACCTAATGTCTTTATAAAGTAGTAATGGACTTTTTAAAGTCTACCCTTGTAAAGTTTTGCCTGATTTGTTGTTTCTGAAGCCTGTTTCATATGTTCCTCGTTTGACATTGTCAGTCCCTCAGTATAATCAGCTTGGTTTATAGGATAAATGAGATATTCGAGTAAGCTGACTGTACTTTTCTTACATATGTAAAACAATGATTGTTTGACTATTTTTAGTAATTGACATAAAACCAAAAAAAATTTCTTTTCAGTTTGGAATTATTATTTTGTATCCTCTGTAATATTTTATCAATTTTGTAAAGTTGCATTTTTGTTTCAGAGTTGATTGCTTTGCTTATTCCTATAACTATGTTTTAACGGAGAAACAATGTTTTTTGTTGTTTTTTTTAAAGAGAGGCTACATGCCACTCTTACCCCCTCCTGCTTAGTAATTATTCGGCTAAAGTTGAAGTGCAGTTAGTTGTCCACTCGTTGTAGCCTAAATATACTATTGATATCCCTGCTGACTACTTTTTCTTTGCTACTTGTATGCGTTCAGAGATCTGACGTTCCACGCTCAGCGGATGTGACCCAGAGGACTCTGGTCCTCCTCGAAGAGGTCTCAAGGAAAAGAGGCCTGTTTGAGAAAGATCAGAAGGAACAGAGCAGCACTGGCCCTGGAACTTCAAGAAGTGTACATTTATATTATCCTACTGACCTACTTCTTTGTCCTACTGTCAAATGTGCTGATGTAAAAATAATATTCTCAAACTTTGTTTTTGTCAGGAATTTAGAAATTTCGCATCGGGAATGTCAGACCGGATCAACAGCTGGCTTAATAAGAGCAACCAACCGGGTTCTCCACTGAGTCTTGTAAGCAGGGTCTTTTATTCATTCAAATCAAAATGTTATTTAGAGTGTGCTCTCCTACCATAAGACAACCAATGTGTTACAGTAAAACACAAATACAAGATAAATATCCCACAAATGGCAATCTCGAAGAGGTGACAAGGAAAGCAGCTACTTCGAAATACCTTCTACGAGTAAGGCAGGTCCTAAGAAGCCAGCTCAATGGCAAGAATAGGTCTCGGGCAATAAATAGCTATGCTCTACCTGTAGTCAGATACCCTGCAGGAATAATAAGCTGGCCAAAGGATGAGATACAGGCCACAGATGTTAATACACAAAGGCTCATATCCATACACAGAGGGTGTGTACAGCAAAATACAGCACCCTGACACTGTACGCTAGCCGTAAGGAAGGAGGCCGAGGACCAATGAGTTTGAGAGCCACTATCCAGGATGAAACATCCAAGATCCATAAGTACATCAAGGACAAGGCTCCAACAGACGACATGCTCAGTGAATGCCTCAAACAATGGGGAAAATGAGAAAAGTTGCTGGAGGCTCCATCATGGGAGGATAAGCCCCTAGAAGGGATGTGCACCAAAACATAACCGAAGTGGCAGATATCAGGATATTCTACCAATTGCTAAACAAAGTCATACTGAAGGACATCATAGAGGCACCCAACATGGCTGCACAGGAGCAGGCCCTGAACACCAGAGCAATAGAGACCCAGATCTACCCCAGGCGCAGACTGTGCAAAGAGGCCCCTGAGACAATCCATCACATAACTGCAGGTGTAAGAGACTGGCAGGGAAAGCTTACATCGAGCACCATAACCAAGAGGCTGGAGTAATGTACAGGGACATCTGTGCAAAGTATGGGCTGGAAACACCAAGGTCAAAGTAGGAAACACTTACAGAGATGGTAGAGAATGACCAAGCTAAGATCCTGTGTGACTTCTAGATACAGATGGACCGAATGGTAACAGCAAACCAACAGGACATTGTAGTAGTGGACAAAATGCAGAGGAAAGCTGTTGTGTCTGACATAGCAATACCAGGTGACTGCAACATAAGGAAAAGGGAACATGGGAAACTAGAGAAATACCAGGGGCTCAGAGAAGAGCTGGAGAAAACCTGGAAGGTCAAGGCATCAGCAGTGCCAGTGGTCATTGGGGCACTGGAGGCAGTGAACCCACAACTGGAGGAGTGGTTACAGTAGAACCCTGGTAATACATCAGACATCCTGGGCCAAAAAAGTGCAGTTCTAGGAACCCTCAAGCTCCAAGGCCTCTGGTAGAGTCCCCGAGCTTGGGGGAAAAAAGGGAGTCTGCCCGCTGTGGGTGAGGAAGAGGTTTATATATATCATTAAAGCTCAATAATAGCGCAATAGAAAGAAAGGAACAGCCTAAGGTGGCACACTTAAAGTTGTCGGACGCCAGGGGGCAGCAATGCTATTTGGAGTATTTCTCTCTGTCGCTCCTGGTTTTCGAAGCTCAATATATTCTTAGGTTCATTGTGGTGAATTTCTTGTTAGAATCCCCATTAGGAAAAGTGGAAACTTTTAGTTTGTTTTTTTGTGTTTGTTTTATCTTTGATGGACAGTTTAAAAAAAATGTCTCTAGTCTAACTTTAAATTTGTCTCTTGAAAAAAAAATTGACTGAACTGCTTTTAGAAAAGAATCAACCTTGTCTCACCTCTTGTATGTTTCTGTTTATTTAAAACTCTTTTAGCATTGTTTTCTTATCCTCATTCATCATCAGAATATGCTAACATGGATGACCAAACCATGGTGGCAACTCTTTTGAATCTTCTGTTCTTTTGATTCTTCTTTTTTCCCACTTGTTTTATACCTGCTTAAATACATTATTAGATATATAAGGTGTTAAACTCTTTTCTCTGAAATTCTCAGACAGCTCTCTATATCTCACCATAGTGTTTACTCTCACTAACAGAGTAGGCCCTAGCACATCTTACTAGATGCAGCAACAATGTCCCTGTAATTATGTGCTCTTGATGTGATAAGTCCCTAAGTGATCTTATATTCATGCGGTTGTCTTATATTCAATGCTGTCTCCTAATTTGTTTCTTCTTTTTTATTGGATTTCTTTTAACAAAAATTTCAAGTTCAGGTTTCTCCTGCTCAGTTATTTCATAATATCTAAATATGTGGGGAAAACTCAATAGGTGTCACAGGAGTGTTATTGTTTTCTGATTTTCTTTCTCTATAATTATTGTTCCTCTCTCTGTTTGAAGGACCTGAGACATGTGGACATCAGCAGCAAGAGGAGCCTCTTTGAGAACCGAGGGGAGGAAAGCGCCCCAAAAGCCAGCCATGGAAAAACCCACAAGTGAATGGTGATTACTGATAATCCTGTGCAGTGAAGTCCTCTCGCCTGCTGCACTTTATATTGTATTTTATTTTTAATATATATAATTGCAATCTCATTTTGTTGTAATTGGCTGTGTGCAACTTAATTTTATTTAATGTATACTCTGTTCATTTAAAATGACAATAAAGTTTGTCTAAGTCTAAAGTAAAAATACAAACTAAACAGAGAATAAGATTAGACTGTCCATCTCCTAAACAATAAGTTTGACTCGTGATTTTTTTTTTTTTCAGGGGAAGCAGCGTTTTGGATATTTACCGGAAGCCATGACTGACCTTTCGCTTCTTTATTTTATTTAATATTTTCACTGCTGAAGCTCACATGAAGAAAATAAAATCCTGAGCAGAAGAATACTTCTCTGGGTTCTGTCTTCCAATTTTGCTTTGCTTATTTGCATATGAATTGTTTTGCCTAATAAGAGAAATATGCTTGACTGATGTTTAACAGGTCCAGACAAATGTATTGTTTAAGTTTTAATTATTTCTTCAAGCGCTTTAAACTTGGGGGAGGTCTTCAGGCTAATGATGTTTACTGAACTTGGGAGTTGTAATTTAAAGAATTTTGTCTTATCTTATATTTGGGTTTTTGAACCAATCCTGCTTGTCTGAGAAATAAATGTTTTACTACAACAATGTCTGCTGCAGTTTCCTTTAACTAAGATGAAAAATGGGCCTTTTATCTTAAAGGGGAGAGAACGTAGATAAGAGCTGCATGCCTGTGTGTTTTTTTAAGTGGCAGGGTACCATTTAAATCTGTCTGTGTGAGAGTGTGTGTTAGACTGTGACTAAGTATGGTTTTATCTGGTTGGTTTTGGCATGTCCACCCCACAGCTGTGCACACAGCAGCCTTTTTTGGTGTTAAAGGAAGAGTATGCGTTATCTATGAAGTTATTAATAACACAACAAGGGGGTCCTAAAACCTCTTCCCTCATGATATTCCCCTGTTTCACCCTCACTGGCATTCACCTCTCAGTAAAGGTCAGGAGTTGCATCTTGAGCATTGTTCCTTTCTTGTTCAACTGGTTGCGTTTTTTAAGGTAAGATTGCAGTATTAAACAAGTAAAAAAGTCCAGCTGAATTCACTTAATCTGCAATTTCATGTGCAGAGTTATTGAACGTGACCTACCATGTCGGACAACGAGGAAGTGGGGGAGTACGAGTAGGTGGAAGCCTTTTATATAATTTTTTTTGTTATATCTGGCATTACTTCATAACCAAGCTGAACATGCGGTGTGACTGACTGCACCCACCCATTTCCACTTTCCAAACTCAGTGTTTTCTTTGCATTTATTGTCATCGTGGCTTAAAGCTTCTTCAGCGATGATGGATTGTCATCCATGTGCTCAAAAGTAAACTTTCTTTGTTTCTCTGCAGGGAGTTGGAAGGTAAGAACTCATGAATCATTAAGCACAACATGATTTTCCAGAAAGATCTGGTCTGCCATCTAAACTGAAACCCCATTTCATCAGGTCCATGTTTTCTTTGACTAATCCCACGCTCTTAATTTATCACTTCAGACTGTAGTATATTACAGTCTTTTTAAATCTTTAACTTTGTGTATGTCTTTCAACAGTACAGAAAACACAGCCTTACTGTGCAGAGACAATTATAGCTTTACTCTCACTGCATGGGTAAATTTTATCATAAGGAGGCTATTTGTTTCACATAATGATTAACGTTTTTACTCACAAGTACAGATAAAATCAGTGGCATCTTTCCAACCACAAAATCTGTATTTGATGTATGTAACCACAACATTCTAAAATTATCTTTATCTTGTTACATGAAAAAATTCCTTTTTTCTGTCGTACTTCATTGACTGGGTGGACTGAAAGAAGAAGAAGAAGAAGCTGTTGAAGGTATTTTCCTGCTTTTGAGTTGTGACATTGACATATGATGTCTTGAGTTCAGCATGAATTGTTTCTGCATTATTTTAAAACATGCGGAAAGGTTACCAGGGTAACAAGTGGAATAAGAAACATGGTTGCACCTGAGAGAGTAGTGCGTTTTTATATGTCATACTGACTTTAAATATTTTGCTTTTCTTTCTCCGTCCTAAAGTGATCTTGATTCTTAAACTCAAAACTTCAAACAGATATTTGACTTATGTTTTTCCACTTTTTTACTTGTATTTTTTCACTCCTTGCTGTATTTGAGATTATTTAATATTGATGAACAAAAAAAAAATCCAAGAGAAGGAAAATTTTCCCTTTATTACAAATCGTGCTTCCTGGATTTTTCCGACCTCTAAAGTATTTAAGCATTTAAGCACTCTTTCAATTTAGCCAATTGGATTCTTTTAATTGGAAAGGTCACTTGTTTGATTAAATTCAGGTTTTTGCTTACTTGCTTCTTGTGTTTGGAAAAATTAAGTTCTCCCTTGAGTTTAGTTGCATTTCTATGTATAAATTATTAATGAATCATATATTATCAACGGTTTCAATGATAAAAAAAAAATAAATAAATAAAAAAGAACTACGAAAAATCAGGTGGACTGCACCTAAAGTCTGATTACTACTGTTGATCATGGCCCTTTAAAGAGACTGAAAACATTTATGGCTACTTGGAAGCAAAACACACCTATTAACAAAATAAATATGTTGGTTATAATTACCGGTATTGTCAATTACAGCTTGTTGGAAATGCAGTAACCAACAGGTTTAGAAAGGTGTAAAAATGCTCAAGTAAAAGCTTAAAACAGGGCAGTGATAGCGTTATCATGCAGCTGCTCAAGGGTTTCATACTCATTTAAAACAGTGACCCCGACAAATGAGAGACTCCATGTACGTCTCAAATACCCTTACTGGCAGTTGGGAGAGTTTGCCAGGTGCACAAAGTGAGTTTGCATGAATCAGGGGGTGCATGTTGAGAAACTGCCTAGTGAGGTATTTGAAACTGTGGAAATCTGAGGAGCCTGCACAAGAACTGCAGCAGTGAGGGTACAGGACCACACTTGTCACAGTTTTTCTGGCATTGTTATATGAGGAGCCAAGGAGAATGACTTAAAGAAAGTGATTAATTAAAACCGAGACAGCAAACCTCTCTATCTTGGACCTCTCTATGCCTCATCCAACCACAGGAAGTATCAGTCCACATACACAATGTGTGCTGAAGTCCTCCTTTGGTCTCACTTGCAAGAAACTTTCACTGAACTCTCTAATTTACAGTTATAAAACTGCAGGCCAATTTGCCTGGAGAAAATAGAGCAGTGGAATGAGTCAGCTCATTCTGCACCAAATTTCTCTCCATGCCTCCAAGGTATGCTGGGTGGGGCCACTATTGGCACACAATGTGCCTTTACTGGCATCTTCTTCGCCATACCTGTCACCAGTGTTTAACACGTGCAGCCTCACTTGCGTAACGCTTTTCTTCAACGAACATATACAAACACACTTCAGTATCTTTATTCATAGCTATAGATATTTTGGGGTCTGTGGTCATATTAACCAGCTTTGTAACTTTACTTTGCAGGGGAGCCAGAAGTAGAAGGGCAGGAAGAGGAGGAGGCTGAGGAAGGTAGAGATTGAGGTTTTGATGACACAATTCTTAACTATTCAAAGTAGTTAGAAACTAAAAGTTGCTTTTTTTACTCACTGTAGATTTAGAATCCGTTTAAAGTAATAGATTTCACAAAAAGCAGACGATTGAAGTAAAGCAAGATGGGGAAAAAATTCCCCACATTATCCCAATTACAGCTGAAATCAGAGCTTTCAGTCACACTTGATAAAAACCTTGTCTTTTTTATTATCTGAGATGAAATAAGAATGTTTTCCACCTTCTAGATACAATAAATAAGGCCATGACACAATATTACATCCTAATATTGTAAAGATTCTTGCTGATCTTATTAGAACTTTCTGTGCCCCAATAGAAACTTTACAGGAGGAAGATAAACCCGCCGCGGCAGAGGAGGCAGATGAAGGACAAGGTGAGTTGTTTTTGTTTAAGTGAACACTTTGATGTTTGTTAATTTTTGTTTGTGAAGAATCTTGTGGTTGATCTCCAAGCAGCAGAGCACCTTTGGGTTCTATTAATCTTTAAGTGACATCTTAATGACTATGAGTAATTATTTGTTTATTCACAACTAATGGTGAAAGATGATCTGCTGAATTAGTTTGCATCTCCAAATGCGAAGGTTTGTCGTCTACGGACATGTTTATAGAGTCAAAGGAGACAGAGTGACTACAGTCATTTAAAAGCCTCTCCTCACTCCTAGCCCTAAGGCTCTTGAACATTAGTCAGTTTCACTCTTTTGGCATTTGTCTCTCTTATTTGGCGAAAGAGAGGCATGTTACAGAAAATGCATCTTATCTTGCTGAACATGCAAAATCCGAAAGAAAAAATCCCCAAAACTTTGAGACACGTGTATGAATTACTCAAAATGGTGAAAGTAGCCCCTCAAGAAGTTAGGGAAAAGAACACTATTGTTGACAATGTGAAATAGATAAAACAGTGTCCAAAAATATTTTTTTTATTTATTTAAAAAAAAAAAAAAAATCACATTTTCTTTTTTAGTGAAACATTATTCTATTTTTATGTTTTTGTTGTGAAAATAAAGAAAAAAAAATATATAAAAAAATAAAATTATATTTAAACCTGTCAGGGGTAGTTTTATGGAGCGGACCTAAAAGTGCATGCAGGCAGTTTGTTAAGTAAAGATCTAAAGAAGTTTAAATAACAGAAGCTCAGAATGGAAATGACATGGCGTGAAAAGCACCATGAGGAGTGAGTCAAACAGATACCTTTAAATACACGGTGGGGTAGAATAAAACCAAGAACTTTAGATTAGATAACTTAAGCATGACCAAAATTCAACAAAGATACTTGGAAAAATCAAACGTGAAACCAAACATGATCAGGACTAAACCTATAGTTTTAGGGCCACAGTGAGGAAAAAAAAAATGAGGAAGGATTTTTTTCCCCCCTTCTTCCTCTACAAGTCAGTAAAGTTGAAATGTTGAGAATTAAGTTGTACTGTCAATAAAAAGCCCAATTTAATTTCGGAGGATGTAGGCTTACAAATGTCACCAAACTACACTCGGTCGAGCAAATGTCTCTCATTATTCACATCCACTGACCTCATTATCGACTTTATTCTAGGAAGATTTTTCAACATTTGTTTTTATTGGCATTTCGACTTTAATTACAATATTTCAACTTTATTTACTCACTGTGGCCCAGAAATGGAGAGATAAATAACTATGAAAAGAAAAAATACAGGGAAAAAATGAAGGCATAGATAAATAAAAGTCAGCATAAATGAATTTAAATAAATAAATTAAAGTACAAATAAATAATAAATTGTTTACATACCCAAAAAGGAAAAACATAAATAAATGTAATCAATGAATTCATGTATACAAAATAATGAATTCATTTATTTATACATTCATATATGCATTTATATATTTTATATTTATTAATTAATTATACAATTATATATCTATTTATTTATATGTGTATTTATTTATTTAAATGTCTATTTTTTTTATCATTTAAAAAAAAAAAACTAGAAAGCAAAACATCCAACAAAAAGGAGCAGAAAAGGTTGATTTGCAGCAAGGATAACACATAATTAAAAAGAAACATAAGTCCTCAAAATACCCACTGAATTTCTTTCATTAATCAAATATCAATCTGTTCTATTCTCTTTTTGCTGGATATAAAGAAAAGTGTCTTTATATAAATTAAACTGTTCCATCAATGCTTCAGAGGTGAATAAACAGACTGAGGAACAAAGCAGAAAAGTTAGGATGACAGATTTCAGGAAGTTCAAAGCAAGATTCTTCGATAAAACAAAGCTACAAGTTTGAAATAACTTACAGATCATTGTTAATTTCATCCTCTGAATAGGAAAATGTAAAAACACCCTTTCAAACCTAGAAAACATGGCATGCCACCTTGAGGCCAGATAAGCATGGTAATATTCAGAGATCAAACTTTTCTTTAGACAATAATCCAAGGCAAAAATTACCAGAGACACACTAAAAAAATAATGCTCTGAAGGTGAAATTGAGAATAGGAATAAAAAAAAATTCACAAACCTTCACAAACCTGGATTTGTCTGTAAACCTTGTTATGACGTGCAAATGCAAATGCATCAAGTAATAGAACTGAATTATACAGACTATTGATAAAATAAAAGTATTACAATGCAAGAATAGAAGCAGTTGAAGAGCTTCCAGGAGGTAAATAATTTGCGGACGAAAACCAATGTAACGTAAACAAATTTTAGATTTTTTAGTGACCATATCTAAATTTGTGCTGTCACTATTTTTATATAGATAGCTATACCTATTTACAATAGAACAGGAAGGTTGAACCATTGTGGTCAAAGAGTATTATATCATAAATAAATGTTAATTAATTTTGAAAATTATATTATGTTAAAACAACCAAAAATTTCATTTGAGAATTTCCCTCATTCCTAAATAAACTAACAGATAGAGTTATGATATGGGACTTTTTGGTTTGACAGGTTGTCGACTCAGAAACCAGTCTGTCTTTAGAAACATACCAAAGTTTATCCAGAGGTGTCTCTTAACAAAAACACCCAGAGCTCGACAAAGCTTATATTTATAGAATATGACTAATGATGGAAACCTTCACTTCTGAAGACGTAGAAAATGTCCTTTGGTTCTCTGTTCTTTAACAGAACACTACTTTTATCAAATTTTCCGAATAATTTCAGACCCAATGTTCATTGTTTGCTTTTTTAAATAGGATCCCTCAGTGAAATACTTGGAAAATCAGTGGTTTTAAGCTAATAGTGCTATTGGAGAACAGGACAATACTGTATTATTTTTGTAACATTTAAAAAATATGTTTATTTAACGGCAAAAATCAACGTAAATGAAAAGACAACAAATGCTCACTTGCCCTAATATGTTAAAAAAAAAAAATTCTTTTATAAGAAATTCATGAAAAACACTCACAGGGTGAACAAACACTAATTTGCTAGACCAGAATCTTCATCATCAATACTAATACAGGCACTTAAATGTTTTACTTTTTATCTTAGCTTATTAACTTTCAACTTTTTGAATAGGTTTGAACTTTTTCACTTGGCTTTTAACTTTTTAACTTAACTTAACTCTTTAACCGTAAAAGTTTAAAAAACAATCCAATGGACTTTGTTTCCCAGGTTTGAAGACGTCTCAAACCTGGGAAACAAAACTTTTATGGAATGACTATTGCCTGGATGACTGAGAATCTTCACCTGCATATTAACTTAATTTGTTAACTTTTTTTTTAAACATTTACAGTAGTTAACAAATAATAAAAATTGTTCAATGCCAAAATACATGTTCAGCCATGTAGCAGTATTTTTGCTGAATGGCAGCATATTAATATTGTGCTTCTGGACGTCACTGACGGATGGAGGTGGGGGGTGGGGGTACTCCATTTGTATACAGTAGGGTATGCAAGTTATCAAAAACTTTAACTTGGCCTACAAAGGGTTAAATAGTGAAGCCTATAACCTGTTTCATTTTGGTTTTAGGTGAAGAAGAGGAGGGGGAGGAGGGCGAAGGTAAATCCATTCATCCAAATTAATGCTGGCACCAATCGCACCTTTTCTGTTTGTTTCTTTTATTCGGGCAAGTTTATTTCCTGCGAAATGAAATTTACAAGACTTCTTTGTCAAGACTTGGTTAGGTTTCTTGGCATGTTTAGGTTTGTTCCCGGAGTCTGCCTGTTTATGTGTGTGGTCTGCTTTAGCTCATCTCTGCAGTTTTTTTTTTTCTCCTTGTTTGTTTCCCAACTCCACAGAGGAGGAGACCAAACCAAAGTTCAAGTAAGTGCAATTCATGCATGAGCACTTTTGTTTTTTACCATGACTTTACTGACAGAATTGACTTGTCTCTCCTATTTATATACCAGAAGCGTATTCGATGTTTGGCCATATGTCTTCAGTGAGGAAAATTATGCTGTTAAACTGAGATCAACATGCTTACCCATTTTGTCCAAAGAACATTCCTCTCATTATCTTTTAAAGAAACACAGCCTTTCCACTGCACTGGAGCTTATTGTCCTTATGAACTCTTAAAAAAAGGAAATATTTTGACACCAGTTCCCAGAAACATGCATCTGTCATTTTTTTCCTCCCTTTTAATCTGCACTCCCGACTGCTGCACCCATATATGCTTTTAAATATAATTATGCTGCATAATCACGTCCTCTTCTTGTTGGTGTTTATAAGTATTTCTTTATTATCCTTCAAAATGTCGATCAGATGATCTGGTTATTGTAAACATTAGCCAGAATACCTGGTATATGTAAAAATTTCATATAAATTGTTTTTAGTTTATTTCATGTTTTATTTCCGTCTGTACTAACAGATGCTGTAAATACGTAGATGTTTTGAATTTCATACCTTTCAAAATAAAATGTCAGGCTTGGTATCTAAAACAGTCATTACACATGTCCCATGAGATGAATGGAAAGCTTTACCTTCAAACCTTATCTTCCAAAGCCCAAATAAGTGACTAAGTATGTAATATAAAAGAAATGTTAACATTCATAATTTTCTTTTCTTTTCTTTTAAAATTTCTTTTTAATTCTATGTTTAATGTTTGGAATACAAGTTACTGAATTGGAATATTATCTAAGACTTAATTTATATCAGTAATAAAATTAAAAACTCGTAAATTAATTTATGCAATGCATTCTACAAAGTAAAAACCCCAAAATTTTGTATCATATAAAATCAGAATTAGACTGATAAAATTCAATTTTTGAAAGCCAAATATTTCCAAAAAAGTTCAGGGTAACTTAGACTTGATAGACTATTTCACACTTTTTTTTTTTTACTTGGCTTATTCATACTTTCTGAGAAACAACCTCTTGTTTTTTATTATCTGTAGGCATGACTAAATAATTTTTGATATTCCATCTTACAGCACCTGTAGTGACATGATTCTTTTTTTTTTAGGCCTTTCATGATGCCCAACCTCATCCCTCCTAAGATCCCAGATGGTGAGAGGGTTGATTTTGATGTGAGTACCACACGTTTATTTTCTATTTATCCTTTTGAAACCTTGTTTTTAATATAACTTTTTTCTTATTTTAAAGCGGATGAATATTTGTTAGTTGTTATATTCGAGTCTCGTATCTTTCTGATTGTGTGTTTCTGTAGGACATACACCGCAAGAGGATGGAGAAGGATCTAATGGAGCTTCAGACTTTGATTGAGGTTCACTTTGAAAGCAGAAAGAAGGAAGAAGAGGAACTTATTAGTCTCAAAGAAAGAATTGTGAGTGCTTTGATCACAGTTATGTAGAAGCTGAATCAATCCAAACATGTAACAATAGTGGCAACGTACTATTATCGGTTTCAGGAGAAACGTCGATCTGAGCGAGCAGAGCAGCACAGGATCCGCAGTGAGCGAGACAAAGAGCGACAGAAACGACTTGAGGTATTCCTGTGTGTTGATAGACCTTTTACTAGGGATGTCCTGATCCAATATTGATATAGGATGTCGGTCTGATAATAGCCAAAAAAATCCATATTGGAATGCATTGGCCCACATCTCAAATCCCTCCTAGAAATAATTTGCTTCTATCCACTTTCCTTAAAGTTTTTGTAACTCTGTGGTGAATTAGAATTGGGTAATTTTTTCTCATATCTGATGTTTTTTTTCTCTGAGAAATATCACTGGATTAAACCTTTAATTCGTTATAAAATAAGTAATAAAAATAGGACCTGTCATTCTGATATCCTATTGGGACAATATCCGTTTTGGTAAAAACTCAAAGCTGCAATATCTGCATTGTATCGGAAATGAAAAAGTCTTATCAGGATTCCCTTGCCTTTTACCAGTTTTTTTTTGTTTTCTTACTACTGATTATTTTAATTGCTGTATTTTATTTGTGTTTTGCAGGATGAGAGAGCTCGTAAGGAGGAGGAAGAGGCTAAGAAGAGGGCAGAGGATGACGCAAAAAAGAAGAAAACTCTGACCAGCCTCCACTTTGGAGGCTACATGCAAAAGCTGGTGACTAAAGATGGGTTTTCAAAGAATGCCAGGATAGAAATCAACAGATCTATTTAACTGTTTCGTTGTCACAGAATGAGAAGCGGAGTGGTAAGAGGCAGACTGAGAGAGAGAAGAAAAGGAAGATTTTGAATGACAGACGGAAATCTTTGGACATCGAGAATATGAGCCAAGAGAGACTCAAGTAGGTGGAATTTTAGCCTTATCATTGGTTTTGTTCCCTCTTTTCATTAAGATGAGAAAGTGATGAAACAATTCCCAAAAGTACCAAACACAATCATATAACCCTACCTCACAGGGAGAAGGCCAAGGAGCTGTGGGAGTGGATGTACCAGCTGGAGGCAGAGAAGTTTGATCTGCAGTACCAATTTACCAGGCAGAAATATGAGGTCCATGTGTGCCTCAGGGTGCTATGGGTTATGTTAAACACATTGCCAAACTAACATTTGCTTGCTTTCTTTGTTCCAGATTAACGTGCTGAGAAATCGTGTGAGCGACCATCAGAAAACGTGAGAAACATTTCTCCTTTGATGCTGAATCTATTTGTCAGATAGAGACTCTGCCCAAATGTGTCAGCCCCCATGTTCAGCTGACACATTCGCTTTGGATGCAGCGTCGGGCAAAAACAAATATCTTTAACATTTTAAAGACTTGTTTTACAGCCACAAACAGTGTACTTTGTTGGGATTTTATGTGATTAAAACCCCCAAAGTAACGCAATTGTGAAGTAAAGAAAAATGTTATGTATATATTTATGCTCAGATTAAAAACTTGCTGCCTCAGAGGTGGGTTGGAGAATATTAATACAGAAAGTCTCATGATGACAGCAGGACACATAAGACGAGTCAGTCACAAAATAAGGAGAGGTACCATTATTTTATGGTGCTATATTCCTAAAGAACAATTGACACTGTAGTGTCAGTCTATTTTAACATGGAATGACAGAGAAAACCTGCAATTGGAAAAATTTGATTAAATTCAGTTTGATTCAGTTGATTTATGCAGTGCCAATCCAAAACACATGCCACCCTAAAGCGCACTACATAGACCACCCAACCAGGTAGAACAGTCTAAACTTTTGGCTCTCTGCAATCCCTCACAGTGAGCATGCCGTAGCGACAGTGGAGATGAAAACTCCTTTTAACAGGAAGAAACCTCCAGCAGAACCAAGCTCCGTTAGGGCAAAAATCTGACGAGGCTGACTGATGTCAAGGTGATAGAAGCAGAAATACAGACTGAATAAGACTTTGAATTTAGTAACTTCTTTGGACTTTGATGGTGGGAATAAACCTGGGAAAAGAATAAAAGTAGTCTTCAGCCAGAGTACCGATACTAGTGATGAAATAAGCAAGAGGGTGAGTGGGACTGAGAACAATCTGAGGGTGAGGGAGGAGATGGGGTGGAGGTCAGTGAAGGTTTGTTCACATGTGGGAGAGCTAAGTGAGGCCAGGGGCTAAATGAAGGGGATTTTGAAAGATGATTGGATTCAGAAGAAGTTGGTCCAGAGGCTGATTGGCTGAAGCTGAACAAGGGACATTGCAGGTGGTTCAGGTGAAACTGATAAGAGTCTTTTTCCTTAAACTTCACTTTTTACAATAACAGAACTTGTGCTGCACAACAGCAAACCTATGAGGAAATTGCCACACAGCTTAGCTGAAAAGCCCTTCTAAGAAGATAATTTACAAAGAAACAGAAGCTCTTTGTTATTCTGGAGAAGCTGCAGAGTTGAAGCAATTCAACCATAGCCAATATGAAGGAATCTGTTCACACCACAGCTATTAGTCACCCCCTATGGAAATCCGTCTTTAATGGAAGAGTGGCAAGAACATTTACTATAAGTCCCAATTGTAAATACAGTTAATCAGACAAAATATTCATTTGTGGGGGCTTAAAAAAAATAATTTTTAAAGATTTTAATCTGTAAAAATTGTAATCTACATCGTCTTACATTCACTTTAATCATTACATAAGTTATGATTTGGCAAACATAGAATACAATAAGATACACTGCAATTTGTGGCTGTAACATGGTAAAATGTGAAAAGGTTTTTAGGGTTTTACATAACAGCAAACACTGTTCTATAGCCTCCAAGGCATGACTGGGTGGAAACTTTTGCCTTGAGTACCCTGTGTAAACAAACAAGCTAAGCCGGAATCTTTACCTTATGACCTGTTGTTTGGTTTTCACAGATCCAAGAGAAGCAAGAGAGCTCTTAGGAAATAGATGACCTGCTCTACCGAGTGAGCTGCATATGTGTCCACTCAAAACTAGACTCCCCTTTGTTACAACTCCTTACACTGTATTTCATATCATATACATCCATCTTTTTTCTCTTTCAAATGTATTTTCTATATTTTCTTCTTTAGAAAAAGAAGCATTGCTTAGGTGTAAATAAAACCCTACATCATTTATCAGCTTGGGGCTTTTTTGTTCATGACAAGGGTCTGCAGGTGCATGTTTTCTTTCACTGAAACAGCAGCGAAATTAAAGAATGATTTAGGAAGCTGAAAACTATGTCGGGACTAGACGATTTTCCTGCTGTTAGACAGGCTAGGACATGAGTGGCACTGATGCATCTTGGACTAAAGCCCAAAGATCCACCCATTATTCCATCTCCCTCCACCATATACAGTTGGCAGAGAATGAATCATTCATATCCTTAATCTGGCTGGGAAAATCTTTTTAGAAGACGTTTCCCCTCCAACTACTTTCCAATGTATCAACTTTAAAAAAAAAAAAAATGTTCGACTCATCTGCATTTTACAGTTACAAGTTTCTTATCATTTTATGCAGTTTCCTGAAAAAAACAAAAACAAAAAAAACTGTGCACTCAAAAAAAAAACAAAGAAGTCTCCTATCTGTCTGACATACTTTTTCTCTTAGTCAGAGAAAGACATGCAGAAGCCAAAATACTCTGGAATGAGAGCCTGAGGCTTAATTAGTTGAAAGTGAAAACAGATTCTATTCAACTAAAAACATAAAGGTTAAATATGATCATACAGGCACTGAATTTGTAAATATTTCATAAATATCCTCAAAGAAACAGAGAGCCTCGCTTCACAATGTCGTCTGCATAGCTGTTTATTAGTGCATATATGAACTGATTGGAAACTGTTAAAATAAAATGCAAAACATACAGTTCTCAATAAAAATACATTCCAAGAAAATAAAAATACTGAAGGTGACTGACCCTAAAGTAGAGAACCCTCTTATAGCAGAGAATAAAAAATGTCCACCATCTTTTACTTTGGATTGATGGGAAAAATCTTAACCACCTCAAATCAAGGCTCAGATTTATTTTTTGCTTGTTTTGCAATTACACTAACAGAAGCAGATTTTTTTTTCTTTAAATAAAAAGGCATTAATTCTGGTGGGAAATCATATACCCTTTCATTAGCCGCCAATGCTGTAAGGTTGCAAGAAAGATAAAGAACACGAGTTGGACCCAAAAAAAAAGAACTTGTCTAACTGTGCTACTTTCTTCCAAGTATTTAGGCTGAGTTCATAATTCATTATCATTACATAAATGGCACAGGGTTTTAATTTTCACATCAGTCTTTAGCTGAAAAGATCAAAGCGGAGCCTCCAACACTAGCGACTCAACCCACTGTCAATCAGTGGCTGACAGGCCTGAAAATTTACTATCACACCAACCTCTTTTACATGCATGAGTGACTAATTCCACAACGCAAACTACTGCTACTTCGTCTCGGTTTCTCTTTTCTATCTGTACCAAAAATTCAAGCCATGGTGATGAAAACACAAACGTAAATCAGAAAAAAAAAAAAAAACATACGGTAATATAAACATTTCATGAAAGAGCAACAACAGAAAAGACTCCCCAAAGCACTGCGCCGCAAAAAAAATAAAAAAAACTTCAATACTGGAAATACTTAAAGAAGACATTGGACATTACTGTACTATCAGTGCAAATAATTATACATTACTGCTAGCATAACAACTACAACCAGTAATCCCCACAAACTGAGATACAAATGTCATTTTGCATCATGTATGTTCTGTAACAGCTGCAATACATTAGATACCTCATTAGCTACGCTTCAAACTTAATTGGAAAAATGTTAATGAGTAGGCTTTAGCAGTACATAAAGCTGCATTTTATAACTTTAAAAAAAGAAGTTAAGCATCAACTTGCTCCTTTGCCAAATAATTCTCCAGTTTTGTACCCACGTGTCACAAGTTCTTGTTTTTATAAATCATTTAGTGCAAAGAGAATCCAAGAGTCTAGATTCTTGCATGAATGCTTGTATTATTTGTTGTGGAAAAATGTTTCCACAAAACAGTTGCAATATTCTCTAACAGACTTGCTTAACTTGCTCTTCAGTTTCAGTTTAAGCTCAGAGAACAGAAAACCCAAACAGAGGGAAGATATTTGGTAATGTAAACCTATTTTTTTTTTTTTATATAATTAATAAATTTTTCTGACCATTCTGTTTCATGAAAACAAATAGCAAATTAAATACTAAAAAAAAAAAAATAAAAAAAATAAAACATACATCCCTCTTCTGTGGGAGTTCACTTGAACTTAAAGTGCAACTAAAAACGAGCCATAAAAGATGCTTGTAAAACATGTTGGTAACCCCCGCCTTTATAAACAATGAAAATATAACACTCAAAATGTTTGCAGCTTATGGTATCAAATGATCTGCATGTTGAACAATTTTTTCTATGAACAATGATGGTCTAATATTACTCTTAACATCTGTAAAGCCCTTGGGGTGGATAAAGGGGCAAAGAATACAGGTTTTCTGAAATTATGTATTTATAAATGAATATCCTAGGTTATTAAGTAACCTAAAATAGATTTGATTGTGATTTTTCATTTTTATTTTAGACCATAAATCTAAATAAAATAACTCAGAGACATCTGGCTAAAAGATGCTGTTATGGAATTAACATAAGAGATTATCTATTAGTAGAGGCCTAATATTTTAAAGATTTCAGAGTACAAAACTGACAGTGCTCCCAAAGCTGAGCTTCATAACAAGAACAAACTGATTTGTGTGTGAAAACTTTGGAGAAGACTGTGTGCAACCTTTTTGCATGTGCGCCTTCATGAATATGCAGAGCATAAGGTTTTAACCAAACTGTGACAATTCACCACTAAAGGATTTTCAAAGGGCTTAAGAGTAAAATCTTACTTTAGCATTTTTTCAAACCTCAGACTCCTTGTAGTTAATTTTCCTCTATATTCAGCATCTCCTTTGTTTCCCCGTCTTTCATTACTAGACGGACTGATTAATCCAGGTGTGTCTGGATTATGCCGTCATGGTTACTGAGGTCAGACACACCTGGATTAATCAGTCTATCCAGGAATGAAAGCCAGGAAACACAGGAGCTGGCTGAAGCTCAGAATGAAGGGGAGTTGGGCGTATAGCCCATAGAAGAGAAGGGAGTCAAAACACCCATATATTCTGTGTGCAATTTAGCTTTTCCTAATGGAACCATCTTAATATCATGTTACCGGTATATCAGAAAAGCACAACAAACATAACATTATGTAGTCAAGGTGGTATTAACTTAAAAAAAAAAGAAAATTTAAAAAAGATAAAAGGGTAAAAACTTCACGTAAGGTACAAAACTATTATTGTTATAATTGGCAAAGAAGCAAAATGATTAGCAAGATCCATAATTACATTCAGAAGATGGACCCCTTACAGACAGACAGACATATCTGTAGATGGGCAGTATCTGCAAGTGCATTAATTAAATCTGAATTGATATTGTTAGATTTTTCATTTATAAAAATATGTGAACTGTGTGAATAGTTACTGAAAAAAGGACAAAGTCTTTTTTTTTTGTATTATTTTGTTTGACGACGTAGAAAGAACAGCCCATATTTCTCCAGCAAGCAACAATTTCACAACTACATACGTATAACAAAACACCTTTGTTATCTTTTTTTTTCCATGTTTCTTTTTTTTTTTTGTCTAGACTTCTTAAATCTTAACACCACACTAGATAATTATGCTCTAGCCGCCAGTAACCACATTTTATAGTGATGACATACTTAGAGTTTTAGGAATCAATGTAACAACAATCCATGGAGGTGAGGATGTGTGTTGAAGGCTGTTTGAATTTGCTTTTAGTACTTGTGCACACACACTCTCATACCTAACCTACAAAACACTAACATTTTCTAATTAAATTACAAGCCCGTTCTCATTATTCACAAAGACAAGGTAAAAATCTTTTAACTTTATATACACAATGTCTGAAGAAGATAACTGAGAGGTTCCTCCAACAAGGCAAAGCATTCAGAAGGTGAAGACTTTAAGGGTGTGACTGTGGAAGCCTCTAATCAGGCCGGTTTCCTTCTGCAAGCACAGACACATAAAAACAGAACGATGAAGCAGATATTGAAGTTTAATACGTTTTGTTATTCGTGACTCATATTGTCTACAGAGAGATATCAAATTTGAAAGAATCCAACAAGGAGCTTTCAGAAGTAAGCTTACCCTTTATTTATCCTGCTGTGATTCAATTACATCATAACTGGAGCCCTTGATGGCTGTTATAGTTTTGAAGTTTACGAAGCGTGCTTTGTCTATCTTCAGCTGAAAAATGCAAAGTTAGAGACAATAAATTCAACTTATTTCACCATAGCATGCACTTTTACCTTGCCCTAAAAAGACAAGTGACATGCAGAGCCTCTAGACGATAACAAGTGAGAGAAACTGCTGTTTCTTCAACCTGAAACCTGCTCTACTGGTCTGTTAACTTTTTTATCTAATTTATGATGGAAAAATTGGTGAATAATTGTCTCTTATTCATGAAAACTACTTGCTCTTAACAAGCGATTCTTTGGAAAACATTACACTTTGTCCTACTCAGTTTAATGTCCCCTACTACTTACATTTCACCATCATTTTTATCTTTTTCTTTTCCTCAATTATACTTTCTCCCATAACTGAGAGCATAAGCAGCCTGTCTACCAAGATTCCAGTCATATCGTTCCTGAAATGACCAAAGTCAAGGGTGTGGTAGAAAGTAGGAGACAGGAACTATGAGCCTAAGAGATAATTAATAAAAAAATAAAAATAAAAAATAAAAAAACACCAATTTAAGCAGGGCCATTCCTCATCTTAAACCATCATTTTTGCAGTATCCAGCTTATGGTTTAACACAGTAACTTAAATTACCAAAACTTTGACACAATAAATGAAATACATGCCTCCCAATCACTTACCATTTACATTTTATTTAGATTTACCTTTTTTGTGAAGGTTTGCAAAAACTTATCAGACCACAAGTTGTATAGCAGCTTTGAGGCTGCAGTCGTGGCTTCGTTGTCAGGCCTATAATAAGCAGAAGGATTTAATAATTAAGGAGACAAAGCAATGTTTACCAATTCTGCAAAAAGAACTGGGTAAAAGAAGAAAACTCACCCTTTTTCACTCATGTCTATCAGCTCCAAAACTAGATCCTTAGTAATAACTTTCTTGCTGACCTCACTTTCTACCAGCAACAGTCTATTGATTATGGAAGCAACAGTTGCAACAATTTCAGGTTGAGTTTCCTTTTTCCAATCAGGTCTGCAGAATAGCTTTGTAAGTTCAGGCAAAGCTTGCTTTGCTACAAAGAAGAGAAATTGTGAAGCATTATAAATCAAATGTATGACATAGAGTGCGGTCAATGTATGCTCCATTAAAACACTGGTGCATCTTATTAAATGTTTAAAAGTTTGAAGGATCAATAAATCCATTAAATAATGTGATTCAGACATTCACTCTAATAATTTAGATGAAATAAAATGTCAATGTAGTTTACGGAATATTAATGTAACACTTTATTATGGCTTATTTTGTATAAATGGACTCTATGCCCAACTCCACTGCTTCCTGAACTTCAAATTTAATGCAGGAAATGATCCTTGTTGAAAAAGATGCTTCTTACCCATCTTGGATTGCAAATTGGGTTTGCGAGACAAGTTATCCAAAAGAGAGAAAGAGGTCTTCCTAAGAGCTTTGTTAGGGGACTGAATCAGAAAGGGTAGGAGTAACTCGGACTCAAGCTTTTTATACAAAATCTCACTCAGAGCTGCAGACCCCTGGAACACAAGACAATGAATAATGTCAGATGAATTTTCATTTCACTGAGGCTATCCATACTGAAATCACACAAACAGTGAGATGCCACATCAAACTTTAAATTTATTTCGTTTCCAAAACATCAACATTTCCCTTTATTACCTCCTCTTTGCTTGCAGTGAGGTTTTGCAAGGCTCCACAGCAGGCCACCAAAGTGGCATCATTCTTGGATGATCTTAGCAGAGACACATAGCCATCCACGGCTTTAGAATCAATCAACCATTCGGCCCCCGAAGGTTTGCTGTTTATTTGTGGTGAGTCAGAAAACAACTAAGCAGAGAGAGAAAAGAGTTTAGGAAATAAATGGTGGCCATCATGATTTGGTGAAAGTTTCTTAGGTAACCCACCGTGTTTTGAGCTTTTCTGCTTCTGGGGCTGAAGCATCCAGCATTGGGATTTGTCTCCCTCTCAGATTGGGCCCCTCTTGATTCCATGAATTTCTCGGAAATCTCTGGACACTCTGCCCAAACTTGATAGCTCAAGTTATGTAGGGTGCACATACAGTTTTCCACTGACTATAGGATGAAAGAGGAAGTAAACATACTTCACTTCAACCAAATTAATGTTAAACCCAAAATTATTTACATCTCTGTCAGATATATAAAGTAAACTTTTGTTGGATTTTTTTTTTTCTAAATATAAATGAAAAAAAACAAAAACGATTTCCTTTAAAAAAAACAAAAAACACGCCTATATGTCCTTGGTGTACACACACACACACACACACACAAACACACATTGCAAATATCCCTTGAACTTATACTGTTTTCCTTCCTTTGGCACCTTCTTCTTCTCTTTTGACTATCTGAGCCAAATAAATCAACAAATCAATCAGACTGCATGAGAAAACAAGGTTTGTACTGCAGTCGTAATAGCCCACTAATGGTTTGCTGTTAAAATGTGTGAACAATAATAATAATCAGTAAAACAGTACTTTCCATGGAATATTTCTATGAATTTAATATGTACTTGCAGTAAATAACCTAAGCATTTATACAGCACAAGCTTTTTCCCATAAAAAATAAAATGAAAATCTACACTAAAACATTCTGTGTAAAAGTTGTGAAATATGTTCAACAGAATTAAGGAGAGGTGTAGGAGGAGTCTAATGAGGTGAGTCATCCGAATTCAGCGGAAAAACAAGATAGGGAGAAAAACCTCTCCGGTCTGATTGACAGATAAATTACTTTTGATAATGAAGCCAATAATGCAAACTTTTCTTTAAATGTTTATCTTTCTGTAGTGTCACAAACACTGTATTTCACTAAAAGATATGACATGGAAAACATTGCTTGACTAACTGATTAGCTTTTTCCCTACAACAAGCACTTGTTTACACAGTTATTAAATTGGTAACCTTGTAAATTTGCCAAGTGACTGCCTGTAGTTTTTCTGATGCATGAAGGGAAAAATATGCTTACCTTTTCATCTGGGCTATCTTCTGCCACGCAAGACAAAACATGTTTCATTAGAGAGTCAATGAGGTTCTTGGTGTCTCTCATTGTTTTCCTGTCCTCTTTTCCACTGCTCAGGTTCCTACATGTATATCATTAATAACTTATTACAGGGTTACATGTAATAGCTTTAAACAGATTGTCAGACAACATGATTATACAGTTTAAAATCCAACTAACTTGATTTTCAAAGATAACCAGAATAAATACAGAAGACAGCTTTGTAATTGTTAAATCATCAACTGTAAAAAAAAAAAAAAAAAAAAAAAAGTTGTCTGTGACTGCTTTGCTGCATCAGAACCTAGACAACTGGACGAAACTGATGGAACCATGAATTTAACTCCCTAAAAAAAGGATCCTGAAACAGAGTTTCATCAATTTGTAATCTTAAAGGTATAGAGGACGATCTTTTATTTCCGGGTGGATCATCTAAATAGGTGGTCCTCCTAATTGTCAATCATTCTCATGATATGTTTACGTGAGGCCATCCTACGTGCTCGTCCCGTTAGCTACGGTATCTTTTTCTGCACATGCGCACTTTCAGGCTTATATCTGTGTTGAGCTACGGTTTCAGACAGTAATTGAAGCTCACCTTTCTCACTGCGGTTCTTTGAAAATGGGCAACGGTCATAAGAAAAAAAGTGTCTACGAAGTGTATGAGAAGCAAAGAAAGGCCTCAGAAGAGGCAGATATGTCCTGGAAGGCTTTGCGCAGAGAGCTCTCTTTGCATTGCATTATAGGATTTGCTGTCACAGCAGGCCGCTGTAGCTATCTAACAGCGACGACTAATAAAAATGCCGCAGGGACCGAGTAGTGGAGGAGATATGTAACCAACGGAGCAAAAAGCTCAAGTGATCATCTATACGAACATGTTAACTGAGTTCACTATAAAGTCCACTATATAGTCCCCGCTCTAAATGGTGATTGAGGGATTTATGGGTTAGAGGGGACGTTCAGACACATTAAGCATCTGAACGTCCTGTGTATGATCTGGTTAAACTGTAAAGTGCATTGAGATGACTTGTGTTGTGAGTTGGTGCTGTATAAGTAAACTGAATTGAATTGAATTAAGTTTCCATGAGCTATGAGAACAGCAACTTTTAAAAGAGCGTGCACGAGGAGCAATGGGCTTGTGCATGCTCTCGGATACGCATTTTTTTTTTAAGTGGAGAGGAAGGGTCTCTTAAAAAATAACCTGAAGAGAAACTAATTTCAGTGATGTTATTACATCTAGGGATGCACGATATTGGGATTTTGGCCGATATCCGATATGCCGATATTTTAAAACTCATGTAGCCGATAACCGATATCGATACCAATGTTAAAGCTGGACAAAAATAAGTAGTCATTAAAAATAGCAGTTTTGTTATCCATTTCTGACACTTTGAAAAATAATATACTCAAATATATTTTCATATGCTGATATCAAATAGATTTTTAAAAACGTGGTATCGATCTATTTTACTTTCAAAATCTCGTGAAATTTCATCGTTCTGTTAGTAAAATAGATAGATACCGCGTCAATATATCAACATATAAAAATATGGCAAAATTTCGTGAATTTTCGGGGGATTTCCTAGCATAACAATGACATATAGCAATATTTCATTAGTAAAATGGATTGATAAGGTGTTTTTAAATGGCAATATATCAGCATATGAAGATATTGTGATATTTTAATGTATCAATATTTTTTCCCTCGTCTTTAGAAGTTTTTAAGTCTGTAAAAAAGAAGTTTCTGAGGAAGAAGAAGAAGTAGTATTTTTTTTTTTTTAGACTTTAGAAACTTAGAAGCTGATCAAATATTGGGTTAAATATCGGTGGGGTGGCCGATGTTCGATATTCAGTTTTAAGGCCGATACAGGCCGATACCGATAGGGGGCCGATTATATCGTGCATCCCTAATTAAATCGTTACCAGAAACTGCTGAAATTCAAGAGTAGTCTTTCCAAAAGAGAGTGGAACAATCAGTTAATATTATTAAGGGGAATTTTTTTTTTTTCCTTTAATGGCAGGTTTTTTTAAAGGTTTTTTTTTTTTGTCCCTATGACAACCCAAAAATGATTTGAAAACAGTTTTTTTGTATTTAGTCACCTCATCTTTGCCTCATATAATTTCTTCATTCTATAAAATATTTAACTCCAAAAACATCGAAAGACAAAAAATTATTTAAGTGTGAAAATATGTATCCTGCAACTGTAAAAGAAATATATTTACCTCAGGCAGCCAGTGGCACCAAGGAAGACACTTGGATCTATATTTGGGCAGTCAGCACTTTCTGACAAGTTGACAAATGGCACCACCACATTTTTAGTCAGAGAAGGAAGTGCTGTTCTCATTAGTTCTCCCTTCAGTTCGTCAGCAGAAGACAGGTTCCAGAGCAGGCCTTACAAAGGAAAAAAATCTCACATTGTTTAATCAATATTTATCCATACATACATATACAGAACAACCAAAACATTTGACTCAATACAAAATCTAAACAGATTTAACTGTTGCAGAAAGTAAAATAATTACACATTAAAGACAAACTGATTATATGAGTATTTATTTTTGTATCTTTAAAATAATGTTCTGAAGTGAGTCAAACAATATATATTAAAGTGTCTGGCCCATCACACTTTCATTGTTTGCAATATCACATTAATAAAGGACATAAGGAATGCAATATCGGGTAGGCTACATCTTATGTCCACACCCAGTATACACATTAGGGACTTTGATGGTAAGGATTGCTGCAAGTTTTGTGACACAAACACCAAAGCAAATGTTGGTTAATCGAAATCCATATCATCATCACACCACTGAAAAACAGTAATACAATTTCTCAATACTATGTAGTGCTTTTGAGATCCTAATATAAAGAAGTTTCCTACCTGTGACCTGTCTCTTGGTCTCCGTAGACTCTGTCCTCTTTAGCAGGTTCAGGACCTTAGCTATACCACCATATTTCTGAACTGAAATTTTATTTTCCAGATTCTTGAAGACGAGATTCCTCAGAGCTCCAGAAGCAACCTGGGCTACGTCTGGATTAGAGCTTTCCAGCATGTTGACCAGGGGTGGAATTCCACCAAGACTGAGGACCTACAAAACACAATTATGAATGACAGTCACTTATGTACTGTAGATCTTTTAAATGCAAACAAAATCCAAATTTTTATGTTTTTTTTTTTTATTTATTGAATTTCTCTAAATTAGTGTTGAATTCTAGTCTTTACAGAGAATGTAGTTATCCTAATTTACATCAAGTTTATATAGCCAAGTAAAAATGTAAAAACTGATTTTCATAGGTGACCTGGAAATGCCAGAGAAAATTATTGAAAATCTTTTAGTTTCGAAAAAACAATCAACCAAAAAAAAAACTATACTTTGTTGTGATAGACTAACACAAAGTTGTGCAGGGCTGTAAAGTAGAGGGAAAAGAATACACTGTTTTATCACCTAAAAATTAGGAAGGTGTGGCATATATTGTTAACCGTCCTACCTTGAGCCTAGAGGCCCTAGTTTAGTCGATCGGTTTAGGTGGTCGGCCATTTCTTGGTAGGTTAATGGTTCTACAATATGTATTCCAACCTCAATACAATAGTGTTTGTTGTTGCAATATGAAAAAGAGTTAAAAAAAATGGATATGAATCATTTTGCCAGGAGAATATATAAATATGGAGGGCAGCCATGAACAGCAGTTGTTTTTTTTTTTCTCATCAAAGGAAAGACTGATCATTCCCTGGATGCTGAACAATGCCAGCCCACTGCTCCCCAAGATGGTGGGCTAAATGCAGAGTGAATTTTGTTGCTATGTACTTGTGACTTGTGAAAATAAAAGCTAGAAAAACAAAAAGGAAAAAAAAAGGTCTTTATAAATCTTTAGTACAAAAGAAATGCAGCTCCAAGCCAAAAGGAAAATACCCTTTTTATGTGGAATTTGTTTCAAGTAAAAGAATGAACGTGGTAAACTCACCTCAGATTTGGCCGACTCCTCATTAAAGCAGGTGTGTTGTATGAAGCTGGCCCCACGGTGATTTAAGTTCTCATCAGGCTCTTTCAAGTACTCCACTGCCTCCTTTAGGGTTAGAGCTGAGACATTTGTTGCAGAGTTCACCCTATCAAAACAGGCAAGGGTATTCAACTCTTGGTTGGCAACGAGACATTTAGAATACACAGGAACACATTTTTTGAATTATATTTAAGATAAACAAAGCTGAAGGCAAAGAGAACTCACAAAGATCTCTGCTCCAATTTGGTCATCTTTAAGGAGCCAGACTTGCCATCAATCAGGGAGTGTCCAGAAGACATCGGAAAAGTGTGTGTGTGGTTCTCAGTGAAATTCCTATTAATCACTGAACGAGATTCTCTACCACCTAGAAGACTGTTTTGGCTTGGAATAGGCTGCCCTTTGATTTTCTAAAAGAGAATAGCAGTTTACAACATTATTTTGGTATTCCTTTAAAAAATGGACAAAACCGAGAAACAACTGTTAATTACCATGCTAACAGCTGGAAGCTTGTGAGGGACATCATCCAAAGCAGGGTCACTGCGACTAAGTTGCAGCCCATTTAGGTTCTGTGTCAAGGTGGTGGTCATGATTTGCTTTTCAGCTTTGGTGCTGACATATCGTCCTCTGGTATTTTTAGTAGTCAGACTTCGGACCGTCTAAACATTCATATAAAAGGTAAGAAAGAAAAGACAGAAGTTATTTGCTTTGGTCCCAAACAAGTCATATAAAAAAAATCTGAACTCAACTAAGTTTAATCAGCTAAAATTAAGTATCAGACCTAAAACTCCAACAATAAAATTAGGCCTATTCATTCATGAGCTTCCCAACACATTATTAACATTGCCAGAATAAATGGATCTCACAAACCCAGGTATCAAGATAAAACAGGTTCTGCTGTGTCAGTCGACGGTGTTTTTTTTTTTTTTTTTTAATAAGCCAGATGCAGCGTCTGGCTTATTAAAAACATAAGGCATATATCTACAACAGAGGGTTAGGGTTAAAACTAAATAAATACATTTTCATGAAATAAATAAATGTAAATATACCACAAATTAAATACATATGTCATTAAATGACCCATGAAATAATTTAATGTAGAATTTATTTATTTAATACAGCAAAATAATATAAATGTACCATCTAATCATGAAATTTAAAATAAGTACTAGTGCCATAGTATTTCAAATATGGCTTTAAAATTATTATATTACGGTATATAATTATGTAATTTTTTAAAATACACTTATAATTTAAACATCAAATTGTTTTCACCATGTAATTATTTATTTAATTGTATTAACATGGTCCGCTCATCATTAAATGTTTTAAAAGTAATAAGTTAAACGCAACAGGGATTTATGAGAATCATATAGAGACCATAACATCTGACCGGCTGCGTTACATAGAGCAAAACAAGACAACCGCTTCCTACTTTGCTATTATTCTGAGGCGAATATTTTTTTTCTGGAAAGTGCTGACAACTTCAATGACACTTTTATTTATTAAGTCTAGAATTGGACTTCTTAAGGTGTCTGCATATTTGAGTAGCTCTTCTACCTTGACTGATATTTTTTGGAGAGAAATTTAGTTCCTCTGTTTGTGGATCAGTTTCATTTTTATGGATGCTTTTATTTTGGTGCGTAATGCTGCGAAAATTGAAGGATTTTTACTGATATTTTTTTTTCTTTTTGGACACTTTTTATGATGCGTAACCATTAACAACCAGAGAAAGTTGGGATGTGCACCTGAGAGTAGCTCAATAACATCTCTAACGCTAAAATAATAATTCAGTTACTTTCACAAGTACCAGCTGAGTTGAAAGAGAGGTGCTGGAGGTGCAGAGAGGGAGCGAGAAGAAGAGAGAGGAGCAGGGAATTTAAGCCATCTCTTCAATCAATAATAATGGTGAAAGGAAGATATTTAAGAAACAAGTTAGAAGAACTTTGAGCCCTAGCAAAGACCCAACCAAAGAAGGCAGCATTATGTGTTTTACTGAAACAAATAATGTTGCTAGGCTACAGACACAACAGGGAAATGCATTTGTGGCAATAACTGCTGATTTTAATCACGCCTCATTCTCTGGTACAATGCCAACATTCCAACAGTTTATCAGCTGCTGCACCAGATAAATAAAACAGAACAGACCAATATCAGAGATGCATGGTCAACAATGATGAAGAGCAAAGGCTTCAAGCAGAAGGATGTTAAGACAGATGAAAGTCTGGACAGAGAAAATGAATCGAATACATTCTTATACAGGTTCAATTCAGGAACAAGCTCAGCATCCTTTTCGCTTGCTCACAGACACAGGGACATCCTGCACTCCTCCGCCATTGACTCTCTTGCTTGAATGTATTTGTTCTAAGCCAAATCAGATGGTGCTGCTCCTTCAACCTTTCCCCTGTCTGTGTCTAGAAGTCAAATAAAGAAGCAACTGGCGAGAATGAATCCTAATAAATTACCAGGTCCTGATGATGTAAACGCCACAGTCCCAAAGGTCTGCGCAAAGCACCTCTTCACCCTTATTATTAATCTGTATACTTGTTATATTACCTTTCTGTTAAGCAGAGTAGATATATTACATACAGTAGTTATCCTTAACATAGTGTAACACTATGTGATAATGATAGCCATCGAATTAGGACAGTCAGGTAACAAGAATGGGGCATCTCAGGGGCCAGGCTGATAAAGATGAATTTCTTTGTAATCCTATTTATTTAGACAAAGCTTTTATTTGATTTTTGATTTCTCCAGTGCATTTAACAGGGTTCAAACTGACTTAATTTGTGGGAAAATTCAGAAGAATCAGGAGGAGGCATCAGGTGGATAAAACGCCACCTCACAAACTGACCACAGTTTGTGAGGGTCAGTGTGGACAACACGGTATCATGTTACCGATATATTGCTTCTGACAGTAATAGAGTAACATAATACATTACAAACAAAATTTGGGTCATATTATTACTGCTACTAAGGTGGGTAATGTGTTACATTCTGAGCTCAACGGCCCATGGCCAACAGCCTAAATCAATTGGAGAAGAAGTCTTTTTTTTTCTTTGTTGTTGTTTTATAGCAGGAGAAGACTATTTTATAACGACAGCAGAAGAAGCTCCAAATGATGAGCAATTGTAAAGCAAACATATATAGATGTACAACATAAAGGAACATATTTCAAAACCAAACATCTCCACTAATTAAGAGTAGAGTCCTTTAGTAGTCCGCTACATTTGGTGTTTGCAGTAAATGCCAAAAAACGCAGTCTTCATGGTTTTCATTAACTTTGTTTTGGAGTGTGATGTCTTCCTGCATCATCTACTGGGGTAACAACATCAGAGTAAATGACATAAAAAAGCTAAACAACCTAATAAAGAATGGTTGTTCTGAAGCCCTCTAGAACATCTGGAGACTATTTCACAAAGAAGAAATCTTGATAAAGAGAAGAACAAATTCACAAATTCTAGGTTTGCAACAAGAGTTTCTATCATTTGATCTCAAATAATTAAATATGTTAATAAAAGTGTGTGTTAGTGTTCACCAGTTGGCAGGTAATGCTGATCCTGTCTGTGGCAACCTACTCCACACTGCACCACAGCCTTTGCCTTAAGGAGTTTAGGGATTTATGATTATTTTTCGCCATTGCGCATAAGGATAGGGACTTCATTTGTCTCATAGGTTGGTGGAGCGTTCACTGCATTAGTTGATTAATGGTACATTCAGTCAATCATCCACACACTCACACTGAGGGTGGTGAGCTACATTTCGGCGTTCATTGTCATGGTGTCTTTGAAAGCCAAACCCAGGCTTCAACCATCATGAATCTTTTGATTGCAAGACTGCTACATCTGACACCACTGTCACCCTGATTTCTTGCACAAAGTTTCCCACCAGAATCTGACCTCGGCCTGCTCCCATCTTCCATGCTCCAAAGGGTCCGTGAATACATTTTTAGACTAAAACACCATTAAAAGAAACATTTCTAACTTTCAGTGTATGTGAACTAGTGATTACAAATTCATTTCAAATCCTTGAAGTGGATTAACCGATTATTTTTTTATTTGATCCTTGAGTTTTGGCCCTTGTGAAATAAGTAGGGAAAGGGAAGAGTGTACACTTCCCATTTCCACTCTCCTTCGCTCTATATGCATATAAGCTCCTAAACAGGTATGGAAAGAAGTCATTTTGGTTTTAAAAAACAACAAAAAAGTAATAGAGTGAGGGCTGGGTGGGTTGGAGCCAGTTTTATCCATGGAAAAGGGAAATGCGATCATAGCAACCATAATGAGATCACCTATAGAAAGAACAAAAAATATTGGCTTTATACATAACTTTAAAAAAATTATGTCCCATTTTCCTAATATCATGTAACTATACTTTCTACATAGATTTTCCAGGAAGTTAAACAGTTACGAATATAAATATTGTGCATGGACACCTTATCAGTCTGGCTAGAGGCAATCAAGACCACTAAAAAAAGAAAGGTAACACATATTTTATAGAAAAGTTTTTCTAAAACACCAAGTACAACCAGAGAGAAGGGAATCTGACCAGGTACAAAGTATAGTTGTTGTTTTTTTCCAGATTCAATTTACTTAGTTGATTCAGTTTAGGCTGACAACACAGGACAAAGTTAACAACACAAAATGAAAACAAAAACATGCAAAGGAGGAAAGCATAACACACTATATGCATCAAAGGACGACATGTTTAAGAAGGTTACAAAAAGGTAAATGGGACTCAGATTCAACTTGAAACAGAATATAACATTAATGGAATAAAATGTATTGTACTAAGTTTAAAAAGACGCACATGCTCGATTCAAACGTTTTTGATTTAAGGCTGTTTGATATTGCCATGATCTTAATTACAGAGAACTTGCACAGGCACGTCTCCATGAAACACAACATAAACTTAGAAGAGTCTGAGAATCATCGCAAAACCACATCTTGAAATTCTTTAATTATTAACAACATATTTTCAAAAAGCAATATGCTTAAAATGTTAGACAAAATGAAAGGTTCGGCAGGTAAAGAAGTTTCAGTCAAGTTTGACATGCTAAGCAGAGGAGAGAATTAACCCTCTCACTAGCCTAAAATCATCAATCAAAGCTTTCATCAACGCCGGCAGCTGACATCTTGACATTTCAATTTATCAAAAAGGAGAAAAAGGTGATGTGAAAGTCAAGGGAAGAAATGCACACAATTGTTTCCCGCAGGTTTAAACCCGGAAAGAGAGCTGAGAAAACATGAATAGATCAAGAATGTAACCTGGCAGAAGAAGTGTCATGATATCAGCAAAGAGCATAACTTAGTAACAATGTTCACTTTCACTGTTCTAAATGCTCCTTTCTATTGCTGTTTTCATCAGTGCTGATGAAAACATGACAATGTTTTTTATGACAATGACGAGACAATGAAACAAACACGGCTCTTTGATGAAACATGATGAGACTTGGTTGAGTTTTCTCAAGACCAAGACGCTGAACATTGCACAAATATGACAAACTCAGGGCAGATATTAATTGTAGTTTATAATTTTATTGAGGCATCAATTGTTGCTTTGTGGCCAAGTTGTTCAGTAGGATGAGATCTCAAATCAAAGTTGTGGTTCCTTTGTGCAGATAGATTCATCCTTGAACCTCTATTCCATAAACAAAGTGTGAGGAGAATCAAGACACTCCTTATTTTTTGTGGCATTTTTATGCTGAAGTTCTTTACAAGTTATGTAGAATCTGTAGCAGGTGGTTTTACACATCAATATATCAGGTGGTTTCTGAAAGTTACAAGTTTTTTTTTTAAATTACTCTGAAAATTAAACATAAATGTACTGATATTAGAAAACCTAATTTCTATTTTGAATATTTAAGTACTTTTAAATGCATGTACTTTGAATACTTAAGTATTTTCAAAAATAAATACTTCAACACTTTAACTTGAGTAGATGTTTGACTGAGTCATTTTTATTTGTAGTTCAGTAAGATTTGACTATGAGTATTAATACTTTTACTAATGTTGAGTACCTTGTCCACCACTGGATATCACTGCAAAGATAAGATACTGTTACTTCAAAATAAAGGTCAGTTGATTGCTCTAACATGGGTTCACAGAAAATACTGTGATTTATGAATAATATTCAGCAAAGTTATGTTTACCAGATAATATTGTATCTAAGTTATTATCACACAAAATTTGGTACCTTTGATCATTGACATTTAGTGTATAATTTTGGAGCTGGAGAGTGGTTTGGATTATTCATCAGTGATTTGTGAACACTGAGTTTCAGGCTTTTGGGTGCTTTTCTACTAAGTTTGGACCAAGAAAGTTCCTCATAAAAAAATAAAGGAGTCAGTGAAACTGAAACTGATGAAGCCGTGAATTTTTAAGTCGAGAATGGCCATAAAGGAAAGTAAAAAGTCAAAAAACTTCTGTTTTTTTGATAAATATGTTAATTTTGGGATTTCATCAACTGAGGGAACAATTTAAATAAATAAAAAAGTATGTATATATATATATATATATATATATATATATATATATATATGTATATATTTATTCACTCAGTAGAATGTATTTGCATGTATATAACAAATACATTTTTATATGAAGTTACTAAATGGTGACTAACTAATAAGCATTTTTCACCTAAAAGACTAAGACTTAAACTTGGAAGGCTCCTTTCCCTTCTGAATCAAAAAGACATTTTCGTTACAGCAGAGGATGGACAACACAACTTCAGAGAAAATAAAAGTGGAAAACAATTATTAAACACAACAGCTGGTTTTCCATTAAAAACTCAAAATGAAAAAACATTATTTTGTATTTTTTTTATAATTTAACTCAGATTATTTCATGTTTCATTGCTTAAAAACATCCAGAGTTATATAAAATGGTTGAATGTGATTTTAACTGGGTGGGAGCAGAAACATAAAGCAGGATCCAAACTTGAAATTCTAACTGAAAGCATAAGACTTTGTGGTTAACGCAATAGTTATGCACTAAAGTGAAGCAATGCAGCATGGGAGAAAAGTCGTGGTTTTAATTAAATCAGTTTAGCAGTTTTTTAACACGCCTCCTTTTAGGAATGTGATTCTCAGCTTCTGGTACATTTTAAACAAGATGAACTGCTATATTCTAGTTTAAAAAACAAACAGACTTCTATTTTATTATCAAATGGTCTTACAAGTATGATCAAATCTGGTGTTCATAAAGTGCCATCTAACATAGGTTGTGGTGTCTTAAAATAACAAAATATTACAGAGATTACAAGATAAACAACATTTGTCTTTCAAGCTCATTTAGTTCCTGAAGGCAACATTGCAGCTGAACAAACACAAAAGCATAACTAATATAAAATATTAAATAAATATTTTTTTCCAGACTAAAAAAAGCACTATCTACATTTTTATGAACTGATAAATCATCGCTAATGATAACCTACTAAAGGAAATGAGCATAGTGTTCTGTAAAGTTAAACATGTGCAAAGTGATTCTAAAACCCATTTAGCCAGCAAATGTATCTCATGGTGAAATGATTCTGAGCCTTCATGAGAACAGGCAACATGCTCCCTAAAAATGTCTTAGTTATGTGTAAGCAGGTCAGGTCAGGCCAAATGCACACACCCACACAGCCACATAAACAGACGCTGCTCATCTTTGGATTATGAAAATAGGTTAGCTTGGTAAACACCCTCAGCATAGGGAATTTTACAACAGGTTACATCCAAAATAAGTTTATGATCACTTTTTTTTCTCTTCACATAGGGGTTTCTACAAGCAAACACACATCCACAAGAAAAACACAAGGATCCTGTGCATAGAGAAATGCAGCAACTATGTATTTCTGTTTATCCATGTATTGTCTACCAGTAATCTTTAACCGGATGGTCAAGATACTTTATATTAGAGGGGGACTAAACCACCTTCCTTCACATCCAGCTCATTCTGGGGGATGATGAAGCTCTTTGCCTATCTCCATGGCTAACTTTGGGCAACTTTAAGGAAGCTCATTTCATCCTCTTTTCTTCAGGACCTTGTTATTTTGTTCATTATCCACGATGCATACCAATAATAAATCTGAATATGATGAGAACAGGATACAGAAGCTGATTTCTGCATGTTCAGCCATGATTAACACCAATTCAAGATTGCACATGCGATCCTAGTATTTTTATTTGCAATGTCTCAGGTGTCTATTTATGACACTGTTAATTTGCAAGTATATTGGTGACTGAATTGGTCAGACTTTCCTGTAAAGGAGAGAAGTAATTTTAAGGGCTAGATCAAAAGTCAAGGTAGCAGATTAGTTCCCATCTAGACTCAGTTCTCTTCTGTATAAATTGTGCAATAAATTGAACATACTTTTATAATATCAATTAGCTTAGAGCTGTAACTAACCCATTATTTAGCAAATCGATTGATCTGTCCAATATTTTTTCAAGAGCCAAAAGTTACTTAAGGAAGATTTTTACGAAATTGAACCAGGTGAAACTGAAAAATTTCCTCTTGTAGAGTTCTGGATAGAGCATATTGACAGACGAAAAAGTTTTTCATCTTGAATGCAAATGTTTTAAATTTTTTAAAACAATTTTGGTATAATTACTGCTCTAAGTGTGTTGCTCTGTTAAAGAAAAAATTTAGATTCTCTACACTCCAGTTAACAATTAATCCATTAATACAATGATTGACGATTATTTTAAGAATCTATTAATCACGATTAATCCGATGAACTTTTTTGCTCTTAATTAGCTGTTAATAAACAATGCCCACATATGAACTCAGTGTTTTATATTGCTTTTAAAACAACTTTATTAACAGTTTCTGCAGCCATTTTTTATTTTGGAGATCTGATGACAGAAACAGATCCTCTTGTAAAAAACTTTAAGTTTGACAATTATGATATTGTCAGGGAGGATTATGTTAAGATTTTCTATTTAGATCAGCTTTAATGCCACTTTAGCTCTAAGGCTACGTTCACACTGCAGGCTTTGATGCTCAATTCTGATTTTTTTCTGAAATCCGATTTTTTTTTTGCGTTGCTCTCCATATTTCCAAATATATGCGACTTGTATGTGATCTCCTGTGTAAACTGCATTCATACAGCTTAAGTGTCCCACATGCGCAGTAGAGGACGCAATGACGTCACAAGCCACTGTGCTTCGTGTTTAAGGAAGTAAACATGGATGTACAGTAGTGCTGGAACACATCTAGCGATGTTTCCAAACCTTAAAACCTAAATCTGTTAAAGATGGTTAAAAAAAAATACTGCTCTCCATATTATTGTCTGCCATGGTTGCTGTTTTTCTTGCTGCTTCTGTGTAGCAAGAAGCAGAATAGTGACCTTTGTCACGTATTAATGGCTTTCAGGTCGAATGAATGTTACCTGGCGGTTCGCATTTGAAAAGATCGGATTCGTATCGGATTCAGGACCACATAGCCAAACGGCTTGGGTTGCATTGAAAAAAATCGGATCTGTGTTGTTCAGACAGTCATGAAAAGATGAGATCCAGGTCGCATGTGGGCCAAAAAATCGGATTTGGGTCACTTCAGGCTGCAGTTTGAACGCAGCTAAAGTCACCTTTTAACAGCCTGTTGCAGCCGTTTAAATTATTTTCTCACAATTGTACCCAACACACAGCGCTGACAACAACAGTGAGCTCTGTCTGACATTACCTCTATCTATCAATCTGTTTCTATGTTTACTGCTAATTGTTTTTAAAGTGTAAACCTAAATGCACACCTTTTATTCTGTCTTACTGCTGTGACAATTCAAATCCCCCCATAGGGGATGAATAATGTTTTATGTTATTTAATTTACAGAAAACCATTAGAGCTGTATTAACTCAGTACCATCTAAACAGAACTGCAAAAATGTGCCCATGTAACAAGATCTGTAATCTATCTACAGTCTATGAAAGGGACTTCAGTCCCTTTCATAGACTGATCACATAACGTTAGAGAAAAAGAGAAAAAGAAACAATTACCCCTTTGTTGAAGCCCCCTGATGGGGCAGAATTGGTGCGCTTGTAGGTGCTCTTTGCACTAAACTTGCTGGTTCCAAACTCATTATAGGATTTGGAAGACTGCTGCGTAGGGCCTGTCAAAATAAAAGACAGAGGAGAAACAGCAAACACTGAATAATGATTGCTTTAAAAATGACATACTTTAATGTATAATTATCCAGACTGTGCATCCCAGATTTAACTTTTATTTTGTAAGGGAAATTGTGAAGCTGGGATGACACACTGACAGAATCATGTGTAAATAATAAGCTGCACGTTTGTTAGGGCGTTGAGACACAGTCATATCACTGTAATTGTTTGGCTCATGGGCTAATTCATCAGGACAAAGAAATCATGTACAGTGACACACTCCTACTCCAAAAATAGTTTCCTTATCTTTGCAGTAAGACAGACATAAACTTTTCAGAGTAAGAAAAGTAAAAAATGGCATAACAACACATACATTTCAGGCTGAATGAATTTAAAAAATAAACATTTGTAAAATGTTTGTTTTACTTCCATGTGCAAACATCATTAATAAGTTTAGAATATGTGTGTAAAATATATTTTTGTCATAAAACGCTCCTCTGCTGACTGATGATTGTTGCATATTTCATGGAAAACAAGAGGAGGGGCAAAAAAAAAATGCCACACACTGAAAATTTATAGCGAAGACCAAATTTCATAAAGTTTAAAGCATCAACTTATAAAAATGTCAAGTTAAGACAATAAACAAGGCTTTAGACAAATCCTTGCTTTAGAAACTATTCTCTGTTTAGTCCTTGTTTAAGGAATAAACACCAACTGGTTTCTATCACCCTAAAAAAACTTCTTTAACTATCAAATACAACATCTAAAAACCTAAACATATAGAAAATATATTTTTGTATCTTTAATCTGAAAAAATGTGATAGAAAAGCTCAGATTCAAATCAGCATATATAATCTTATTTCTAGTTTGCAGCTGCATCTTCTTTTTTTTGCCTTGCATTACTTACTGCATCATGACTCAAACTACACAAAACAATATAAATCCAGTGGCCTTTTGTTTTTGCCAAAAAGCTTTTGAATATATCTTTCTAGTACTAAAGGAGTTTAAAAAAAAAATTAAGATGCAAACAGAAGCAATTTTACTGTAACCTCATTTTATTATCTGGCATAAACAGCCAGATATTAAAAGCCGTTAGACATCAGATGAAAATACTTCGCCTATATGACATGGATGCAGTAAAACCGCAGGCATGCAATTAAACCTACACACAGAGACATAACCACCTCAAACAAACAGGCTGCAGTCTGTTTGAACTTATGCAGATAAATATGTGATATATTTATGCATCCTGACTGATTAAATCATTGCCTTTTGCAGGTCATGCAAAAGAGGGTTTGGAAATAGGTTTTGCAAGGCTGGGAAAAATGTTGACAGTTTATGCGTCAGGCAATAAGGGTGGCCTTTCTGGTCGCGCAGTTGTGAGAATTGAGCAGATTAAGTGAAAAAAAAAAAAAAAAAAAAAAAAAAAAAAAAAAAGAAAGAAAACAAAGAAAAAATTAATAAATAATTGAATAAAAATTGGGATCATGCCAACTTTATCGCAGTAATACTCAGAGTGTTACTTTAAAAGTATGGGAAATTATCTTTTTCAAATCTAAAAACGCACTCATGTCTAACTCTTTTTGCGCACGGGTGTTAACGTATCAAAATAAACTAGTTTGGACTCAAAAATTGCAAAGCTTTAGGTTTACTGTCTGATTTAACCCAGAAACACATCCGTGCTAAAGTAAATAAATAAATAAATAAATAAATAAGGGGCTCCTCTAGATGTCTGTGACGCACCTCTCCAGATAACTCAAAAAGAAACCCAAACAATTTCATGTGATTCTCCAACAACCTAAAAAAAATACTTTATATACTGTTGTAAGAAAGCGGTTTCCCTACCTATGGTGCCGTTCTTGTATTTGGACTTGCTCCTCTTTATGCTGTGGACCTGGCTGAGGACGCGCTGGTGTCCGGAGCTCAAGCTCTTGTCGGACGGTAATGCGAGCGACGTGTCCTCTCCGCCCCCAACGTCCGTGGTCGATCGCAGCGGATCCGGTACCATCATCTTCCCAAACTCGTATCCCTGACCTGGAGAGAGGCTGGATCAACCGAGTGGTCCTAACCAGAGCGGTGCCCGGGGAGCAGATGCTCTGCAGCAACGGGTGCAGAAATGTGCCAAAGCGCACATATGGTGAGAGTTCCCAGACTAGTAGCTGTGAACTCCACCCTGTTGTACCGCGCCCCTCAGAGGAGAGTTCACATGCAGGTGTGGGGATGAAGGGTGGAGCTGAGGGAAAAGCGAGGAACTGACGACAGCCCCCATTATTGCGCAGCTCACATGCACGTTTAAATACATGGTTATGTCATTTTGTTTATCATTTCCTTTCTCTGCAGGATGCGTTTTTGTTTTAACTTGCAAAACGTTTCAGCTGCACGAGAGGCTCAACGTGTCATGTGTTGTAGCAGACCAATAATACACACTTTATTCAAATATAAAAAAACAAGTCGATCTTTGGAGAAGACGTCAGATAAAAGTTAGTATCCATCCACACCCTTTTCAGAGGTGTAGACAGACCCTAATAGGGGTGGCCAGCTAATAACCAATGTGCATTGAGGGGTGGCCGAAAGGCCCCAGAACCTCAGGGTCAATCTACACTGTTCCAACAGGCACATGCACAACATCCATATTTTCTAAATAAAGACAAACTATACTTTCCTGCAGCCTTTGCTGACTAATAGATGCATATATTTTAACATCTATGCTGTGTAAATAAAAGGTACAGTGGACTAAATTCTTTCAGGTTTGAGTTCTGGGGCGAACATATTTTCAATTTTCATTATGCAAAAAAATTATATTTAATTCTACTAATTTCCACATTTAATTATTTTTTATGCCAAATATTAATGAGTAGTTGTTTATCTATGTATTTATTGAAGACTCCTAGATGACTTGTAGAGCCACACAATTTTTATCTTTATCCCAAATAATTCAAAATTTAGTTCTGAAAAGAGCATCTTTAATGTTTGTATATCGATGTGCATAATTAGCCACAGTGTTTCTGTTGTCAAGTAGTTGTTAATAAATGAAAAATGTAAATGTTTAATACGTTTGAACATTCCCCTTCAGAGTATTACTGCTGCCACTGTCTGTTTTAGAGGGAAAAATGGTAGGGGTGGCCGATGATTGGCTAAGGGTTGCCATGGCCACCCCTGGCCCACCATCTAGCTCCGCCCCTGACCCGTTTGTATAAATGCTGCAGAATTGAAACTAAAGCTACTGGAGAAAGCATTTTAATTTTGAAAAAAAAAAAAAGTATAATTTAATGTTATGGACAGGCTTAATGTATTCATTGATTGATAAAAATAGTAAAACTGTCATGAAAAAAACAAACACAGAAGCGTTTGTTTTCACCCCTACACTCTAACACCACTTAATAAAATCATCTTCAGCAGTTACCTAATCAGCAAAAACAATGCACCTAATCCTTGCATTAATCCTACTATGGCCTCAGAAGGTTGTTAGTAAATATTGGCATATAAACAGCACCGTGGAAACCAAGGAACACAACCTCCATTATAAACAGAGGCATAATGATTCACCTTAAATTACAGATGAAGCAAAGAGAAAAGAAAATCTGGCCTTAATGGAAGAATAGTGAGAAGACAGCCATTGTTAGAAAAGAAGCAATTAGTTCCCCTGTTAATTCTGCAAAAAGCCATGAAGGAGACACTGGGAATTAGTGGAAGATGGCACATTATGATGAGGCTGAAACCACCCAGGTTTTTGTCTTTAGGGCAGTTGGATGGATCGTGGATGGAACTAAAAAAAGAGAGACCCTTCTAGAAGGCATTCTGTCAAAATATATTCAGACTCGAAGGAGGTTCATCTTTCCAAAAGGACAATGACTCTAAAACTAGTGTTGCACCGATGCCATTTTTTGGCCCAGATGCCAATACCTGGCTTTGCAGTATCGGCCGATACCGATACCATACCTACCGGTACACCGTTGGTTTGAAATTGATGTGTGTATATATATGAAGAACTTCATAATACTTGGACGTAAAATAATTGCCATCATGGCTTGGTCAAGCTGCTGCCTGCCTTTGTGAGACAAGAAAAAGACTAATATGAATGTCAATCCAGTAGAATTTTTGACCTGGAATGGATGACAATAGTTGAATAAAATTTTGGCTCTCAAATGGTATCGGTGCTCTAGTTGTTGGTACTGACCAATACCGATACCATCCTTTTAGTGCTGGATCGGGGGCCCATCCGATACTGGTAACGGTATTGGTGCAACACTACCTAAAACACACAACCAGAGCTAGTGGGACTAGTTGAGATCAAATTCAGGTTTTAAAAACAATCAGGAAAATATTTTTCTTTGAATAGATGCTCTTCAATTAATCTGTCCAAATTGGCCTAGTGGGTTAGAGCAGTGCGCCTGTGGTCTGAGAAGGTTGCAAGTACCCGGTTCAATCCCCACTGCCTCCACTCTGGGCTACTGAGAAAGACCTGTAACCCTTGATTGCTCCCCGGGTGCCGCACAATGGCAGCCCACTGCTCCCCAAGGGGATGAGTTAAATACAGAGGTAAAATTTGCCAATGTGAGATCAATAAAGTTCAGTTATTATTTTTGAGCTGTTTTGCTATGTCGCATTTGCAAATGTTTGTGTTACTTGATATCCACCATGAGTTGCAGCTAGGAAAGGTGAGGTTACGAGTAAATAACTTAAGAGCCCTCAGTAAACTGCACACCAATTTTCAGATTTTCCTGCTAATATTTTAAAACATTAAAACCAGAGGAGTCAGCTGAGGTGACTGGGACATCTATTTTGGTTGGACACCTCCCATGGGAGGTGTTGCAGGCACACCCCAGGGGGAGGAAGCTCAGGGGACGATCCAGGACATGTGTGAAGGAATATGTCTGGCAATTTCTGCTGTGTGCAAAACTAACCAAGTGTTCTATTCATTGTAAAACTTTATTTTGGTATAAAACAAAGGACAACAGTTTCAAACACACAATAGTAGAATGGTTGCATACAGGTTTATCTTTTCCTTAGGCAATAAGAAAATTTGAATCTAGTGACTTTTTAAACATGAGCGAAAAAGCATTCCGGATGCTGGGACCCTAGGTAAAGGTGTAATAGGAAGAAATTCAATCATGTATCCCATCCAAATATGTGCAGCTGGAAGCTCTGAAGGGGCTGTAAATACTCCTTACAGCCTGGTTTGCACGTGATACAGGATGAGACAGAATGAATCAGACTGGGAGAAAGATTGAAAAAAGAGGAGGGGTTAAAGGATTAAAGAAAGAGAAGAGAAGTTGGAGGGGAAACTGAGGTAAGGAACACATGCTTTCAGCATAACCGGACTGTTTTGGCAATGGTTCTAAAGGTGACAGTTTCTCACCACACCCTTCAGCTGAACAGTACCACAGCGATAAATGCCTTGGTTTGTGTTACTTAACAACATGCAAGCAAGTCTATAATATTTTTTCCTATTGTAGTTGATGCCAATAAGCTGTAGTTTTATATCTTCCAGTGAAACTGCTCAGAAGGTGTATTACATAACTCAAACTGTACATTTTATTTTAACATATTACATCAATTATAGGCACTGGTGTACAAGCTACTCAACTGTAGTACTTGAGTAAAAGTATTGATACTCGTAGTCAAATCTTACTTAACTAAGAGTAAATTTTGCTTAGCCAAAAATCTACTCAGGTTAAAGTACTAAAGTCTTAATTTTTGAAAATACTTAGGTATTTAAATTAAATTTCTGTCTTATTTTCAGAGTAATTTTAGAGAACCTTGTTCCTTTCAGAAATCACGTGATGTATTGACATGCAGAACCTTCTGCTTTAAATTCTACACCACTTGTAAAGAACCTCAGCAGAAAAATGCTACATAAAATAAGAGTAGGTATTTGTATTATTAGTTTTTATTTAAAAATACATCAAAAGGTAAACATCAGTCTTGACTCTTCTCACATGTTCACTAAAGAGCTCTAAAGTTACAGCTATGCTTTAAGAACTCATCCTACGAAGAACTGGAACACGGCCACAACTAACACCTTAATAAAATATATAGAGAGGTGACGCAGTCGTTAGTGTGCACAACCCATGTACGGAGGCCTATTGCGTGTCAGAACTGATGCTTTCCCCATTAGTCAATCTAATTATACTGTCAGAAAAAACTATTGCTAATGTACATTAGTGCTTGAAAAAAAAACAACTCAAAAAAATATATAAACTATAAAATATCAGCCTTAGTTTTTTACATTTGTGGAATGTCATTAAATCTCTAAAACAATGGAGTACTAATTCAGTCTTCAAGGAATTGTATCTTGCATTTTTTTGTTCTGACTTCTCTAAATCCTCCTTAGGTGTGAGTGTGTGTGTATGAATGATCGTTTGTCCTGTGTGTCTCTGTGTTACCCTGCGATGGACCGGCGACCTGTCCAGGATGTTCCCGCCTCCTGCCTATAAACAGCTGGAGACAGGCACCAGAACCCCCCGCGAACCCAGCAGGGATAAAGCCTGACAGAAAATGGATGGATGGATGTTTTAGTTCTTCTCCACGGAGGAAGTTACTTCATCCTCAGCATGTCCAAGTTCTGAATATGCCTACTAATGAGCTACCATTTGACCCAGGTGTGTTGGAAAAGACACATAATTAAAACATGCAGGATATCTCTGGTTGAGGCAATTTATGCAAAATTTTGTAGTTTGTTATTTCTACCAATTTAGTTTTCTTCTTTGGGTAGTTAGACTATATTTAAATTTATTTAGAACAAAATTTGTTAACTATATTCTTTATATTCCGTATTGTTTAGATGATGTTAATTGTTAGACCTTCCCATTAGTTTGGGTAATTGAGAACACAGCGGGTGCTGGTTGGAGCAGGATGTTTGGTAAATGTCTGGTCTGGACGGGAAGGTTTTTTTAATTATTTTTTCCCCCCACTTTTTTAGAGCTTCACACATTATATTGACATTTTTCATTTCGCCTAAGTTGCAAGACGTTTTTAGTTATTATTTTGTCTCTGCTTTTACAATAGATAAGTCAAGTCGGAAGTGCATAAAAATCCAAAAACCACCCATGGGTTTAGTTGGAAATTTTGTTGTTGTTTTTTTCGGAACAGAAGGCCAGAACACCTTTTCTACAGGATGAGTTTTATAATTCACAATTAAGTGCTAAAGATGACATAGAAATCTGAT